GTTAGATCGGATAGGAAACAACACTGAAGTCTGTGACATTGACTGTCAAGACGACAAGTAGGAAACAACATTTGGAGTGATATTGATAGTCAGAACGACCGATGGGAAACAACATTGGAGTAAGCAACATTGATATCTAGGACGACCATAAAATTAACCAGTTGGAATTGACCAATAGAATTAAACGTACTAAAGTAATTAATTCTCTTAGGATATTTGATGAATATCCTAACAATGTGACAGCGGTAATAACAAACAAAATACGGGTTCATTTAGGATGAATTTATTTCATGAAATCGTTCACACAGACAAATATGACGATAAACAGAGTAAAAGCAAAGCAAACCGAGATGGAGAAGCTGAGTAAGCCTTACTTACTTACTGTCATACACCTGTTAATTCCAGTGGAGCATAGACCGTCAACCAGTATTCTGTAACCTACTCGGTCTTCCGCCTTCCTTTCTACTTTTTTGACAATTGTTGTTCATTTTTCTTATGTCAGCGTAATGTCTTATGTCGGCGTAATGTTTATTTTAGTCTTTTTCTCTTCCTTTGGCCTTGAGGATTACAAGTGAGGGCTTGTCTCGTGATGCAGTTGAGTGATTTCCGCAACGTGTGTCACGTCCATCTCCAGCGTTTTTCCCTAATTTCCTTCTTATCTGGAATCTGATTTTTTCGCTCTCATAGTAGGTTGCTGTTGATGGTGTTTAACTAAGGTATCCTTAGAATCTTACGAAGACAACTGTTAATAAACACAATTGTATCTTCCGGGTAATGGCCTTTTTATCATTCTCAAAGTATCCGCTTCAGAAGTTAAAAATCTCTTGTACCGAAAATTCTGTTTTAAGTTCCAGATGTTGTTCAGTTGATTTGCCGATCCGCGCCTTTACATTTGCATCAGATCCACCTTGCTCATTATTGATGCTGACAAGGTATGGAAAAGTTCTTACATTTTCCAAAGCTTTCCCGTCAAGTGTGATTTCGTTGGCGAATGTTACGCAGTATCAGAGTACCTTGCTTTTACTTCTGTATATACTAGGACATACTGTAGCAGAAGCTACTACTATACTCGTCGCCTTCTGCTGCATTTGTTGTTGTGCCTGTGATAAAAGAGCTAGAACATCTGCGAAGTTTAGATAGTCCAGTTGCATCCTAGCAGTCCACTCTTTCTTGTGCTTCCATCCAGACGTTAACGTCTACATAATCCAGTCGACTACCAGGAGAGGGTACGAATATTTAGTATATGGTATACACTTACATCTCATTATCAAAATCTCTTCACAAATGATCAACAGATTAATTTTTCAACAGAGAATCTGATTGGTTGTTAGGATGAGTAGTTAATTTATCACTGTGTTGCTCATTCATCTTCAAAGTCTTTCTCTCTTCTAATGCAATGTTTTATCTTGTTATAAACTTATCTATCAATAAGCGTACAAATAGTACATTGAACCAACAATTTGATACCATCAAATAAAACGTACCAAACTTGATTTGATTGCATAAGCCAGTGACTGTTTGGACTCAGAATCTAAGTGGATAACATTATGGCATTTGGAGCGAACGCTACTCGGTTCGAGTACCTCAGTTGGACATCGATTCCACAATATGGCAGACATATCGAGTTTACAAGTCCCCAACAGGAAAAAACGTATATTCTGGATCCTACTGATAGCCACCATCCATCCATTTCTGCGTATAGGAGAACTAACCAAGCGAAATTATCAACCAGAAAGAAAATTTGAAACAAGGGTAGCATTTCTACACTTAAAGAACATCTGTAAATCAAATTAATACCTGTCGGACAACACCACAATGTCAAAATCACAGAGCAGAGACTTGGAGAACCACGAAATTAATCATTCGTAAGATTATCATCATATGTTTGCAAGACAAAATCAGCAGCAACCTAGTGTGGGAAAGAACAAACCAGATTCCCTCAGCTGAGGAAAAAATAAGGAAAAATTGCTGGAGATGAATAAAACACACACTGAGGAAATCACCAAACTGCATCATGGGATAAGCCCTCACTTGGAATCTTCAAGGTTGAGGCAAAATAGAAAAAAACCAAACAACACATTTCGTCTCTTATTTTTCAGCCTCCATAGATTACGTGGACATACAAATTCAGATCCGAATAAGGCAGCGTCAGGATTATTCATTCGACGATTGTGACAAGATCGGTAGTCGAATCTATCTATCTATCTATCAACCTTTTTCCAATCGGGACTGAATTCATAATATTTTATTATTCGATTAAGGAACTTCAAATATATTGAATGCTCGTTAGATTTGTGAAATGCAACTCGATACTTTCCAAATAAGATTCATCATCAAATATCTGTACAACAATCATCTCTCAATTGTTAACAACCTGACTATGAATGATGTTTGAATTACCTGTTCATAGTTTTATCATAATACTGTTGATTATGCTTGTGACTTGAGATGGCTTTATCAATCTGCAATCCGTACAGGATGTGTATATATGCCAAATGAGATAGATCAATTGTAGTGGTAAGCATTAGTGTCAAAGTTCAAACAACCAGTACAAATAAATTATTTGCTGAAGTTTTATTTTAAGAATTTAGTTTGTTTTATCTATACGGTGATAAAACTCATCTCCTAATGGAGAAACTTTGTAGCTTAGGTGTATGATTGTGGTGCTGATGATGTTGTTCAGTAGGAGAACAATGAAAGCTCCACAACTAAAACACCCAACTCAGAGTATGAAACACCACCAATCATCTTCTAAATTGTTATCCTATGAAGAACTATCGAATTATTGAGTAGTTATTGTGTTTTACTTTGAAATTTCTCGTATGTTTTCAGTTTATTTTCTGGTTGGTCTTGAGTTGATCACTTTAGTAAAACTTGTAATGAAAAAGATATGATAAGCCAGTTACCCACTGAATAGTTGGGTGAGGTTGCGCTATACCGCGAATTGATTGATGTCAGACATTAATAACGTTGGAGGAGGTTTAGAGGTTAAGCGTTCTTGAGCAAGACCGAAGGTCCCGGGCTCAGTTCCTACGTACGACGGTCGTGTTTGCACACTGCGAATGAGTCCGATATCAGGAGGAAATGGTTATTCAGTGCTACTAGGTTTCTAATGGTGGTCTAAAATTGATCAATTTGTGATTTCAATTATGAGTAATTTTCAGTTTTCAGCTTCAATCAATAAATAAGCTAGCATGACTTTCATTCAATGTCCAATGATTGAACAATTACTATCTCAGTTCAACATAGAGAACAAAACCGTACAAATCAACTAATATCAATGAAACCATAAGTCGATCAATGTTAGACCACCATTGCGCGTGATACCAATGTTTTAGAGTTCGATTCCTGCGTGCAGAGGTTGTGGATGAGCACTGCTAATGACTAGTCACATATCCTAGGACGTAGCACTTGACCAGTGCACTTACTTTTCTAATGGTGGTCTAACATTGATCGATTTTATGATTGATTCAATCAAACTCAACAATCTCTACAAACCTTGTAATATTGAAAACATTACCGACATAATCAACAGACAAACCTTCAAATAATTTAATATGCCTTTCTCCACACACTTCAAGTGGACCGCCAACATCAAATTGACAATAATCACAAGCGAAATATGCACCAGCACAAATTCCAAGATATTTACCCATTCGATGTTTAATAAAATTGTGTATTTTTAAACAACCAGTCAATTGTAGCGATTTTAAATAGCCTAAATCATAACCACCACCGAAGCATAATAAATCCGTTTGAATAAGATGTTGATTATTGATCATTGTACCGTTTATTTCTTGAATTGAATAATTCAGTGTTAAATGACGAAATGCATTTTTCAAATGAATTAAACTTCTTTCTGAAGTACCAAGATCATTATAGATTTGTATTTGTTTGCCATGATTCATAGGAGTCTCAAATTTGAACGAATCTAAATAATAATAATAATGAACAAAAGTAATCATAACCATCTACTTATAAAAGATTTAAGTAGTAAAGTAAAGAGTAGAAAAAATTATAACTAAACTATGGTTGACATGCTTGTCTATAGTAGGAAGTCATGACTTATAAAAAGAGTGAGGTAGAGTAGTAGGTCACCAATTATACATAGCGTTGATTGAGTTGAGTGATAATTTGATCAACAGCAAATATAAGTTGTACTACTCTTTTCAGGATTTTAGATTTCATTGTGGTGGTGTTTTGTTCTCTGGGCTGGATGTTTTAGTTGTGAAGCTTTCATTGCTCTTCTTCTGAACAGCATCATCAGCACAAACTTCAGATAGAAGAAGTGAAGTATTTGAATTTCTCTACGTTTGTGACCCGTAGCCTGTTCTGTTAACCTCGATCTTGATTGGTTGTTGTTGACCTTAAACTTGTCGTCGTTTGCACATTTATTTTGAGTGTATCCCCATTTTGATCTGTTTCTTGATCCTATGTCACCTATGGTTTTTGTGATTGATTGATAAATTGGATCAATGTCGATATGTTTGTTGATTGCTGACTGACGCTGAGTGCTAAGCTTCTAAAAATTCCCCAGTGATCTTTATCTTCAACCTATCCAGTATTTCCACATTGTTCCCATCTAATGTATGTCTATAGTTGTCCGTGTGTATTGATATAAGCGAAGCGTTGTCGTGGCGTTTAACTGCCGATTGCTGTTCACGTAAACGGAGTTGATGGAGACGTCATCCACTTTGTCCTATGTAGTGTTTTTCAAAGTATGAGCAATTTATTTTGTAGGTGATATTTGGTTTTTCTTCATTTGTCATTTTGTCTTTTGGTCTACATAGGATTGATTGAAGTGATTCTGTTGGTTTGTGTGCCACACTTATTCCAAATGGTTTCAGTAGTCGTGCTGTATGCTCCGATATGCCTTTTCTGTATGGAAGGATGATCCGTTTATTGGTTCCTGTGCTTAATTTCGCTTCTGTTGATGATTTCGGTTGATGTTTTTTGATGAAGTTGCGTGGATAACCGTTCTTTTGGAAGATAGTCACAAGGTGTTTTTCCTCGTTTTTTAGTGTTTCGTATGTACTGCAGTGTGTCTTTGCTCTCTTGAACAAAGTTTGTATGCAGTTGATTTTGTGGGTTCTTGGGTTGCTGCTACCGCAGCTGAGAATTACTTCTGTATGGGTTGGCTTCAGAAATACTGGAGTCTCCAGTTTTCATGTGTTAGGTCTGGTGATTAGTACATCCAGAAATGATAGACTGTTGTTTGATTCCTTTTCCATCGTGAATTTGATGTCATCAAAGACGTTGTTGATCCGATTGTAGATGTTCTCCAGCTCGTTTCTTTTGACAATGACGAATGTGTTGTCTACATAGCGAACTCACATTTTTGGCTTGATCACTGGCAGAATCGACGCTTCCAGTCTCTGCATTACCGCTTCCGCGATGAGTCCTGATATTGGTGATCCGATTGGTGTTCTTTTTGTTTGTTCGTAGACTCTGTTGCTGAAGTGGGAATAAGTTGTTAAGCATAGATCGATGAGTTCTATCAGACTTTGACTCTGAAGCTTTGTATATTTGTGCAGATTTGTGTCGTTGATGAGGAGCAGGGAAAGAGTTTCCTTAGCTAAACTTGGCTCTACTGAGGTGAATAAGGCTGTTACGTCGAAGGATATCATCGTCTTGTCGTTGTTGATTTGAATCTCCTTCAGTTTATACAAGAATTGTGTGGCAGACTTAATGGAGTAGTTGGATTCATCCACCAGATGTTTTAATATCCTTGAAATTTTTCTTGATAAGTTGTAGGTCGGGGTTCCGAGGAGGGATACAATACGGCGTAGTGGAATGTTGGGTTTGTGGAGTTTCGGCTTACTGTAGAATCGTGGAATTACTGGCCCATTGGATTTCATTCTCCAATGATCTTGTTTTAATATTTGTCCTGCTTTGACAAGCCTGTTTAGAGTCCTTGAGATTTGGTTGTCCAACTTTTTGATTGGGTTTGTGTCAGTTGGTTTATACACGCATCTGTCCTCAAGTAGTTGCTCTGCTTTCTTGATATATTCTTCTTTGTCCATAATTACTGTGGTGCGTCCTTTATCTGCTGGAACAATGATCATATCTTCCCTGATTCTGAGTTTCTTTAAAGCTTTTAGTTGTTGTCTCCCTTCCGTCGAGTTTGTGATACTATGGTCTGTCTTGTTTCTTGTTGAGTTTCTTCACTTATTCCGGCCGTTTCGAGTGATGACTCTGGTGCGGCGTAGAATTCAAGTTTCGAAGAGTCTTTCATGTTATAATTTAATCCTTTTTGAAGTTGTTCTTCTGTTTTCGTTAGGTGTTGTTTCGAAAGGTCGACCACACAACTGTTTGATTTTTCTTGTGTGGGTGGCTTTGAAATCTTAATTAGTTTATCTTTGAGGGTGTTTCTTCTTTGTTCTCTGTGTCGTCTGCTTGACATCTCGATCGCTGTTGTCAATGTTGTTAAGTGTTCTGATGTGAGTTTTATCTCTAGTTTTCTTTTTTGTTCATCCATGTTGTGTTAGTATTTGTGGATCCTGTAGTGTGCATCGGTGATCATTAGTTGTACCATAAGTCTTCCAATTTGCTCCGCTATCCCATCGGATAGTTGATTGGTGGTCTGTATCTGACACTGGTTGGCAGAACATGCTGACGAAGACATTTGTAGAGAAAGTGAAACATATTACAAGAGCAGAGAAAGCCAGGGCACAAGCTGAATACATAGAAGCAAACAAGCAAGTAAAGAAGAGCATCAGAGTAGACAAACGTGAATATGTGGAAGATCTAGCAATGACGGCGGAAAAGGCTGTAGGAGAAGGAAACTTGAGACAGTTGTACGATACAACAAAGAAGCTCGCTGGAAACTATCGTGAACGACCAGTGAATGGCAGGCAAAGCAAAGCAATCAGCAACATTGAAGAACAGCGAAATAGGTGGGTAGAGCACTTTAAGGAATTCTTGTATCGACCAGCCCTGCTGAACCAAACCAACATTGAATCAGCATCCACGGACCTCCCAGTCGATGTTGGCCCACCAATAATTGAAGATATCAGGATGGCCATCAGACAAATCAAGAATGGCAAGGCAACGGGACCTTTATGTATTGAAACAATCGATGAATGAGTGATTCTGACGTTGACAATCAATAATAAACTTCCAGAGCTATTTTGCCTTTTTACGGAACTGCTTCTGTATAGAATATTCATTTAATGCATGAAAATTGAAGAATAAGAGACAAAATGTGTTGTTTGATTTTCACCATTTTCCCTCTAACCTTGAAGACCTCGAGTGAGGGTTTACCTTGTAATGCATTTTGGTGATTTCCGCAATATGTTTCCTATCCACATCGAAGCTTTTACCTAGCTTATTCCTCATATGGGGGAACCTGATTTGTTCTTTGCCGGAGTAAGCTGCTACTGATGGTGTCTGGCCGACGGATTGGAAGTTTTTTGCACAGACAACTGTTAATAAATACCTGCATATTCTGGATGATGACTTTCATAGTTTTTCAAGTCTCCGCTCCATACAGTAGAACTATTTTGACATTTTTATTGAAAATTGTGACATTGTGGTGTTGTATGACAGGTATTAATTGGAGTTACAAATGTTCAACAAGTGAAGGAATGCTACCGTTGCTTCAAATTTTCTTTCTGGTTGATAATTTTGCTTGATTTTACTATTCACTTACATTGAATGCTGAATTTATAAATTCTTTTGTGGTATGATTTACGTTGCCTGTATCTTGAACTTCAGGAAGATTTTTCATTTGAACTCATCCACATTTTTGTGTATATGTACTAACATGATCAGAAATAACTTATGATTTTTAACGTTTATTTTATGTTCATGCAGAAAAGCACGATACGTTCAGTGTTTTCAGACTGTATTATTTATTTTCGTGAACTCTTTGTGATATGAATTGCCTTTCTCTTGTCTGGTATACATTGAAAATGTTTATTCATCACATTTCTTCCTCAAATCGTTTTTCGAAATGTGGTTGTGTTATGCGATACGTTGTGTATGTATGTTAGGATGATTCGTTTTCTGATATTCATCAATAATTGTTCTCCTATACACAGAAATGGATGGATGGTGGCTATAAGTAGGATCCAGAATATGCGTTTTTTCCTGTTTGTGACTTGTAAATTCTATGTGTCTGCCATATTGTGGAATTGATGTCCACTGAGGTACTCGAACCCGGTAGCGTTCGCTTCAAATGTCTTAGATGTGTCGCATTCACCTCCAAAGCACTTTACCAATATCTTCCTCAGCTTGAGTATCCTGGATTGTTTTCTCCCACAGTAGATTGTTTCTGATGATTTCTGATCAACGGTCCTCAAGTTTTTTTTTCCGTAGACAAGTGTTAATAAAGTACCTGTATCTTCTGATGATGACTTTCGTGGGTCTTCAAGTTTCTACTCCTTACAAGAGAACTGATTTGACGTTTGTATTAAAAATGGTGACATTATGGTGTTCGTGAGTAGCTCCATAATGCTTTCTCGCCTCTACCCGTCTATTATCAACACTAACTAATTACTTTACACACGCCTTACTAAGTAATCTTAATAGTTTTTTTTTATGACTCTTATTTTATAGTCTATCTGTTCAAGTTTGATCTACTACATTTTAGGTTAAATTATTGATTAATACTTTTATTATTCGTATCACACGTCTTCTTACTATCGATTTTTGTACTTTGTACCTATTATATGGAATGATGATGTAATTCAATTAACTGTGATCAATCTGACACTTGATTGGTTTAATAGTCTATCAGCTACGCACGTAGAACTTTGTACGTACGTACGTACATACGTACATCAGTTCAAGTTGTCATACAACACCACATTAGCACACACAGAGATGTAATTGTCAATTCAAATCACATAGCAGTAGAAGTATTAGCACTAATGGGTTTGAAGATATTACTCAAAAATTATAATCCAGTGAAATGAATTTAAAAAGAGAAAGATTGATGTGATGAGGAATTCAGAAAATTAGAACTTGAGGAAAGACAAACAATGTATGCAGCTGTACTATCGCCTCTCGAGGGTCAGAGTCAGTCAGAGTCAGATGCGACGTAGAACTTCGTGCGTAAGTACATCAGTTCATGTTGCCATACCACATCAGCACAGAGACGCAAATGTCAAATCAAATCCAATAGTAGAAGAGGTAGTAAGGGAATTGTAGTGAATGAGAACACAGGTGGGAGCAACCGAATTGTATTTAACGAAAATTACAGAGTTACTCAGTAAAATCGGAAAACCATATCGTAAATCGTTCATTTGCAAAAGATCAGTTCATCCTATGGAACTGGACTGTTCCTGTTGCCAAACATCAATCCATTGTCACTCTTCATGCGTTTCATACAAATTCCATTGTTTTCTGACTCTTCCTTTCTTGATCTTCCCCCCATATTATGCTACCAGACTTTACGTTGACACTCACGCTATATACTACTTATAAGTAGTTCGCACCACAGCACCACAGAATTAGAAGTAATCGGAGAGGTCAGGGTTAGAAGATACTATTCAAGAAGTATGATTCAGTCAGAAAAGTTTAGAGAGTCAAAACAAGAGGTGTTGAAGAATCCAGAAGATTAGGATTTGAGAGAACACATAGAATAAATGCACCGGCGCCATTGCGAACGATTTCGAGCCATGTCATTCAAGGTCTCTAACCATCGATTATTATCATCTCGTGGACCCCAACCACGTAGTCGACAATTACCGACATGGCTAAGTCCACTCGGCAATGACTTCATGGATTTCTGCCATGTTTTGGTTTGGCCGCCCCTAACTTTCTTCCAACCTATTCCTACACTACAAAACAAGGCTCGACGAGGCAGTCGGTGGTTGGGCATACGCAGCACATATCCCAACCACCTCAACTGATGAAGTTTCATTACTTCATCGATTGATCTGCCATTCCTAGCTAGCACCCGATTCCTAATCAACAGTGTTGCTCACTCGGGTGTCCCACGATATACGAGCTATGCTTCGAAGACAGCTATGATCGAAAACCAGTAACCTACGAATATCTTCTACTCTCACTGGCCATGTTTCACAGCCATATAAAGAGAACGGAGCGAACTGCTGCACAGTACACTCGTCCTTTAGTCAGCAAACGGATATCACGCCTACGCCATAAGTGAGGCAGGTTGGCAAAAGCCAATCGAGCCTTCTGTATGCGAGCTGAGATTTCGTCAGTCACCAGGCCATCGGCACTGATGAGACTCCCTCTCGAGGCCCCCAACCCGGTAGACTACACCTACCAACATGATTCAGTCCACTTGTCAGTGATTTCATGGAATTGTGCCATGATTTGGTCTGACAGCCCCTAGTTATTGGTTCGTGCCTAATATTAAGGTGACACCGAATAATGACCTAATAGAAAACTGTGTTGTTCTAATCTTCAATGTGTTAGACAGCTGTTTCATCCTAGTAATTGATTTGTGAACAATAGGGCACAAAATTAAGTGAATAACAAATGGATGCATGATTTGGTACAACAAGTACTTCCACGGTGTGGGCAGCCGGGAAGAAACAACCGCCCTCATACCCCATAACAGCACGCGAGACCAAATTGGTCACAAACAAATCCATCCTACTCCTACTAACATCTCTCTTATTTACAACGCTACGACTATTGGATTTGAACTTACAGTTGCATCTTTGTGCTAAAGAGGTATGGGGCAACCTGAACTAATGTACGTACGTACGTACGAAGTTCTACTTTGTAACTAACTGACTGACTGACTGATAACAAGTAGATCAAACTATTTAAAAGTTTAAATTTATACAATTGACCTAACAAAGCGTTCATTTTAAGCCAGAAAAGGGTGGTGAAATTTACAATAGTGTTGTACTACGATTTAATGACTTGTATCATTCTATTTGACAAAAATTAAACTAGGAAAAATAGTAGTAAGTGGTTAAAACATCTCAGATTGAATATTGACCAATCTAAAGCTGTTTATGCACATAATTATTGGTGCAAAAGGGCACCAAAATATTTATGCGTCATACAAGTTATTGTATTTGTAAGTGAGTTTAAATATGCTCGGTTACCAAAACCAAGACAGGAAGTTTATTTTATAGAGGATCACGCCCCAAGACTTCCATAATATTAGAGCGATGCCACGAGTGGCAGTCTCATGGTAGCTAGTGATCAACGATAGATTCATGCCACCATTCATGCTCAATCAAAATCTTGGAGCTGATTTACACGACTGGTTTGGGGTGAAGCTTTTTTCAACTATCCTACTCGGATCCTCCATACCAGTTAACCTAGTTTAAGCGTCGGATATTCATTCACCTTTTATACTCTAAATTTAGCGAACAACAAACACTCCTGTCACAAGAAAGCAGTGAGTTAGACATTCTTTGCAGTGGCTATATACGCATATCCATATGAGAATATTTCAAGACAACCAGAGAGTAGACTCTTCTCACTCTCTGCCGTACCATGGCATTCAGCAACAAGAAATTTTTACTTTAGAAAGGTAGCATCATACATGATGAAAACAGATAAATTCAATGTTGGGCAGCTGGCTTATGATCGAATCATTGTAATCTCACACAAAAATATATATAACTACTACATATAGATTTTTAACTCACACGTAAAATACCAATCAACAGACACACATGGAGTCAATGAAAAACACAACATTCAGCCAATCAATCAATGCACTAACTAAGATTGAATATAATTCACTTTCGTAGTAATTATTGCAATATACAGATTTATTGATTAGTGAAAAGAAAAAATGTACAAAATACATCATAAATTTACAATGATTACCAATGGGAAAAATAAAAAATAAACATGATTCAACTAAGCAAGTCTGTAAAATGATTATTATTATTATTATTATTATTATTATTAATGAATTAAACTAAGAAATAATGCGTTTTTTGGGTTTTACGCATAATTCATCATCATCATAGAGAAAATACAAGCTTATTTTCCAAGAAAAAACAGCAGTCATCATTGATAACAACCGAAAAACCAAATAAAGTATACTTGAAATGAGAGAAAGAGTGAGTGAGAGGCATGCGCTGAAGAGGAGATAGATAGGAGTTGATGGTGACATGCAAAAATGAAATAATAAAAGAAATTGAATTTATAATTTTAACTGATGAGACTAATTAATGTAAATTTCAGGAAATATTATTAACATTGTGACATAGGACAAGATTTCAGTGCACTGTTTTCATGCGTCATTGAAGCCACCGTTGTGGTTGTAGGTGTGGTTTTCATCGATGACGACGATGCTTGTGCTGTCTTCTCAGCAATTGCATCCAGCAATGGTTGACGTTTATGACGATAACGAACTGCTAAATTTTTTAATTCTGTTTCTAAATCATTTGTTAATGAAATCAATAACTGTTCTAATTCACCATAAGATAACCGGTTTAATGCACCGGGTTCATGCGATGATGCTAATCCATTCGGATATAGTCCAGATTGTTGAACAGCACGTGAAAATGGTGCAAATGGTCTTTGTGCAAATGGTGCAGCATGACCAATAGCACAGTTTGTATTCACAGGATTATTGACAGCGTTTGAATGTTGTTGTTCCGAACTATGAAACATCACAATATACATAAACAAGAGTGAAACGTTTCTATGCGTATCGAGTTATATTACTTATAAGTAGTTAAACGTTAATTGAACAATTTTTCGGACAGAAATTACGCTGTTAACGGAGGTTGATCAGAGTAATCGAGTCAATGAATGACTGATGTTGTGAATATCGTTCACATTTACAACAGTTAATAGGAATAATAATAATAATAATAATAAAAATAAATGTGAGGTACATGAATTGACAATATTCTAGTGATATATTCAATGTTTCTCAGGTTAAAAATAGGTTTCTAATGTAATACGTTATGCGGTGTAAGGTTTAACTCTACATGGAGCCCTACCGTTACTGCCGGTCCCAACCCTGGATAAAGGACGAGGGTCGGGTATGGAGCTGGTGACCCTATCTCTTAAAAATCCAATTCGCAAAACAAACGCTAAGCAGGAAAAATAATTTGCTGATCGGCTACCTAGGCACCATTAGGTGTAACAGGCGTAAGCAAGTAACTAGAATGTTAGCAGAAAAATATATACATGTAATTTTTTCAATCCTGTCTGTAGTCAACGTCGGTTGTTTTTGGTGATAATGTTCATTACCGTGTATATAATTTGTAAAGAGATCTCTAGTGATACATTTCTGTGAGACAACCCATTTCTTTAAATAATTTCATATACTACTTAATAAGTGGCAAGTAGTGAGAAATATTATCGGTCATTTTCACATTGTGTTCTTTAATAAATATCCTTCCATCATTGTAGTAACAAATCCTACATTCCATTCAGTTATATTGTTTCGCTAGTTATGATTGAATGTTTGGCATGTAGAAAATACACAAGCCCTTTGTTCCTTATTTAATACACTCTCTCTTTCCTTATTTTGATATGAGTCGTGGAGATTTGAACTGATACTAAGCGCTACGTTGATAATTACTTTTTGAGGCCAAACAGCGAGTGGTCACGATAACATCTGATAGACTGAAGAAAGATTGATATGATGTATGACTAAAAAAACAATTACTACTTCAACACAGTGAGTGTAAATCTTAGTTTTAGAGTTTTTCCATTTTAAAGGGCATCTACAAGATGGATGAGCTATTTCACAGATAAACAGTGAGACTAAAAGCAGAAACTCAAGGTCTGAGGGTGAAGTCGTAATGCTGACTGTAGAGAGATGTGACAGCAGTAAGGTGTTTCCCTCGGACAACCAGCATTTGCGGCGATGCTGCTTTCTCACAACAGAAGGAACGCGTTAAAAAAGATCGACCCTAAAAATGTCACATCTCAACCTACCTCACGGATTTCCGTCACCAGTGGTAAGAGGCCACTTGAAGAGCGGAGCTAACGCTTTACAAACTTCCCATAAAAAGGCCGTTTGTCCCATTGGCTCTGTGGTCATACCCTCAGATCGCTCAGACCCACGCTAATCCGATTTCCTTTTCAGGTCTCTCAAGAAGCACCGTTCCACGTTGTGGGCCAACCGGGAAGTGACAGCCGCCCCTTGTACCCGTAATAGAACACGAATTCAAACTATTCACAATCAAACTAACTAAAAAAGACACAAAAATGGCTGGATTGTGGCTAGGAATGAAAACCAAGACACGTGATCCGTCCATTTTCCAAATCCCCAATCCGACAATCTCACATTCAAACAATGGCAACAATGGCCAACATAGATTGATCGGATTTCAATCTTGCATATCAAAAAACAAAGTAATTCAATGCTTTACTACTAATAATTATATAAAGAATGATAATGACTTACGCATTATTATTATTATTATTTGGCATTTTCACAGCTTTTGCCATTCGTCTAGTTAATGTACCTTCAGTAGTTATTACAGCTGGTGGCAGAGCAGCATCTAACAATTCGAATGCTTCACGTTGATCACGTTCTGCATCGTCTAATCCATCGGACAAACCAACACCATCACCGCCGCCGTCGTCGCCGCCAGTTATTGCTGATGCTGCTGCTGTATCATGGACTACAACAGAACCGCTATCTTCTTCTTCTTCACTTTCTCCACTATCATTAACAACCATTGTGTCAAGATTACCAGAAGAATTATAAACATTGTTCACATTGGTCCGATCATCATCGTCATCATCATCATCGTGATGACGTATAAAACTACCATTATCATCCTCATCATCGCCGTGGTCATTATCATAACTCTCATTATTAGGATTGTTATTATTATTATTATTACTAGGACGATGTGGGCGATCTTCATTTGAGCATAATGAAACTAAAGTCGCTGCACCGTCAATATCCAAACTGGCATTTTACAAGAAGTAAGGATAAAAGAAATAAGGATGAGGATAGCTTTATTGAAAGTAATTTAAAGAATACATTTTTGAGATTCCTTCTCCTACTATCTCTCTCATCAAATAAGTTGTGTATTTGTTCATGAAATATATATAGGAAACAGTGAGTGATATGCAATATGAAACAAAGTGATGAGTTGACAATATAACTGTGTTTAGCAATTTTATTTAATTTCTAAAGCATGCTTTCTAAATGTATGACTGTTCTGCATGTGTGCTTAAGCAAAGTGACCTAGACAGACTTGTAGCTAGTGTTCAACAACAGGTTATGTGAAATTGCATTTCTCACTTATGGCAACGGAAAAGCAGGTGATTTGTCTGTTCTTGCTTGACAAGGCAAAAAACAGTGTAATTATTTCTTTATTAAAGTTACCACTTACTTACTTATTTACGTAGTTTACCCCTAGTGCAGCATAAGCCGCCAACCAGCATTCTATAACTTACTCTAGAGAAGATATAGTTCATTACTAACAAAATGTGTACATCTTATTTCTTTAGAATTCCATTTACAAAACAAGCAAACTTATTGATTGTCTTCTTTCACATATCTTCTGATCTTCAAAACAATTTGAACACACTATATATAACTTCTGGACGACACTGTTGCATACTACTTACAACATGGGTTGCAAGTAGTATCGATGATGATGATGATAATAATTGATGGTTAGAGACCTTGAATGACATGGCTCAAAATCGTTCGCAATGGCGCCAGTGCATTTATGCTTTGTGTTCTCTCAAATCCTAATCTTCTGGATTCTTCAACAACTCTAGTTTTGACTTTCTAAACTTATCTCACTGAATCATACTTCTTAAATAATATCTTCTAATCCTAACCTCTCCGATTACTTCTAATACCTTTACTACCTCTTCTAATATTGGATTTGAATTGACAATTACTTCTCTGTGCTGCTGTGGTATGGCGACATGAACTGATGTACTTACGTACGAAGTTCTACGTTGCATCTGACTGGAACAATAACGAAACTCAAAGTAAAAAAGTCTCCAAGAATCATCCATCATCTTACCCAAATTCATGATTATTATTATTGTTATTCACAATTCGACTAGATATTGAATTTGAACGAACCATTGTATGTAAATTATCATCCGTATCATCTTGAGATAATAATTGATTTTGTTTAGATTTATTTTGATTTTCATCAATTTTATTCATCACTGAATGACGTCGTTTCATATCGGAAATCGGGGTGTCCGGTGCGGATGTTTGCTGTTGTTGCTGTTGCTGTTGTTGTTGTTGTTGCTGTAAAAGACGCCGTTCTCTTGCTTCATTGGCTTCATTGATTAGTTGCCTAAAAAACGTAAATAAAGTAGGAATTGAGGATAACAAAACAAATTCGAAGGTATAACAATCTATAATCTCTATTAGATTACTTTACGGGTATGGGAAGGATTTAATTGTGACCAACTCGGTATCGTGTATTCTTACGAGTATGTAGGAGGATGTCACTTCCTGGGTATTTCTTGAGGAACCTGAAAAAGAAGTAAGATTAGCATTGATTTGATAGACCTGGGAGCGTGATAGCAGGGTCCAATTGACAACTGCTTGAGGCCAGTCACGCACGGCCTTTTTATGAGATAAGTAAGCGATGCTAGTGTTAGGAAAAGGGCACTAGGTAAGGATGGCAAATCAATCAATGAAGTAGTAAACTTTCATCAGTTGGGATGGTTGGGACATGTGTTACGTATTCTCAACCACCGACTGCCGCGACAAGCAACGTTTTGTGGTGTAGGAGTAGGTTAGAAGAAAGCTAAGGGCCGCCAAACCGAAACATGGAACAAATCCATGACATCACTGACAAGTGGACTGAGTCATGTTGGTTGATGTAGACTATCTGGTTGGGGTCCGAAGGATGATGGTAACCGATGTTTAAAGACCTTGAACGACATGGCTCAGAATCGTTTGTAATGGCGCATGTGCATCCACTCTTTGTGTGCTTTTTAATTCTAATCTTCTGAACTCCTCATCACTTCTATATTTCTCTTTCTAAAGTTATCTCACTCAATTATACTTCTCGAATCATATCTTCGCTCCATAATCTTCTCCATTACTGCTAATACTTCTATTATCGCTATCACTCATGGATTTGAACTGACAGTTACATCTCTGTGTTGATGTGGTATGTCAACCTGAACTGTACTTATGTACTTACGTACAAAGTTCTGCGTTTTATCTGTCTGTCTAGAATAGAATCGATGGGTCGCAAAATCTTTTTTGTACACAGGCTGTTTATTTGCAAACCTTTTGAATCACTACATCTGACTTCATGTATAACTTCAAAAGGACAATTTAGGCGGCACGACGTAACCAGTGTGTACAAGATGTTGAAAAATTGACCTACATTAATCTCATTGATAGCTATACAAAGTAATGCTTGTAAATTTATTTTGAGAGAGCTCAAGGGACGAGATAACTTTCTCTACGACAGTAAACTATGTCTTATAGCTTCACACACTGATATTCATGAAAACAGTATGCAGTATAGATTACTTTTGTTCACGTAAATTACTAAATGTCCGGTATTTAGACCCGATCGATGAGGGGATAGAGAGACCTCCAAACAAAACTAATTTCGAACAAACAGTTCATATTAGGTTTCATGATTTCAAACAGTAATTATTATATGAATGAATCAGTCTTCTGTGAAATCCCAAGTATGAATCTTTGGCCGAATCTACCAATGTGTGCATAGTGTGTAATATGACGAAGAAAAGATTTATTTATTTACACAAGTATTGAATTTTAAAAAAAACAACTTACAATAATATTGAACAAGGTTTAGCATTACGAATAAATTCTGTTTGTAATAAAGCTGCTGCTGTAGGACGAGCTTCTGGGGATTTTGCTAAACACGCTGCAATAAATGCACGAAATTCTAATGACCAATTACTAGGTCTACGTAATGCTGGAGCCGGTTGACTTGGTATCATAAACAATGCACGCATAGGATGAATATCAGCTAACGGTGGTTTACCATCGGCCATTTCAATAGCAGTGATACCTAATGACCATATATCTGCTGAACAATTATAACCAATCTCTTGAATAACCTAAAATAATAATCATAATAACATTTGGAAATGATAGAATGATCAACAGAGTAGGTTGGACAATGCTGGTCAGCGATCTATGCCATAATGTGGCTAACAGGCATAAGTAAGTAAGGGAGGAAGTAAGATAGAATGAGGCAATACAATCCCATCTCGTTACAGTGTTCCAAATCAATATTGCGTTTAAACAGAGGATTTTGCAAACATCTTCAACCTGCAGTGAATATCCCGACCGTAGCTATTACCTTGATGTGGTTGGTGGTCGGGCTTGCCTATCGTCATAACCCGACCGAGCTATACTGTCTGGAATATATGTTCCTGTAGGTTCTACCATGCCAGGAAGGTCGATTGGAGAACGATGAGATTAAAAGCAGTTACTGAAGTCATACTGCTGACTGTAGGGAGGCGGGATAGCAGTGAGGTGTTTCCATTGGATGCTGTCTTCTCACAACGGAAGGAAGAAGTCAGAAAAGGTCGACCCCAAAAATGTCACATCTCATCTTACCTCACGGATTTTCGTCTCCCGCGGTAAGGTCTTTTAAAGAAAGAGCGGAGCTAACACTTTAAAAACTTCTCATAAAAAGGCCGTGCGTGACTGGTCTCAAGCAGTTGTCCCTTGGGCTTAGCGGTCACGCCCCCAGGTCTTTATGTGATTTCGCAAACATCTCTGAAAGAAGTAAGAAGTGACAGTGTGAATTTTTTCCTACCTGGAGAAGGACTTTTCAACCTGGAATACACTGATAAGATTGTTTGGTTTTGTCACGATGTACAAACTATCGAAATATCATTTAATCAGTTATAAATTAGTGTGTATGAGTATAAAAATCTTGTTATAGTGTTCATAAAAGTAAGTTAAATCCTTTTAATTGTATATTTAATTAAACTGTATTTACTAATCTTGCCAGTAGATACAATTTTCAACGGAGCAGATGCGTTCATTCTTCGTCTTCTCTACAGTTACAAACTTCTGAATTCCTTCTGACCTTACTACTTACTTACTTTCGCCTGTTACCCACAATGGAGCATAGGCCGCCCACCAGTTTTCGCCAACCAACTCTGTCCTGGGCTTCCCTCTCCAGTTCTGTCCAATTTTCGTTCATTACTCTCATATCTTTCTCTATTTCTCAGCGTAATGTATTCCTTGGCCTTCCTCTTTTCCTTTTGCCTTGAGGGTTCCATGTGAGGGCTTGTCTCATGACGCAGTTAGGTGCTTTTCGTAGTGTGTGTCCTATCCACCAACTCCACCGCTTCTTCCTAATTTCCTCCTCCACTGGAATCTGGTTTGTTCTCTCCCACAGTTCGTTGTTGCTGATGGTGTCTGGCCAACGAATACGAAGTCTTTTGCATAGGCAGCTGTTAATAAACACTTGTATCTTCTGGATGATGCCTTTCGTAGTTTCCTTATGACCTGCCGACTCTTTTTAACTTTATTTCACTGGATTATGCTTCTTGAATAATTTGTTCGAACCCTAAACTTCTCCACAACCCCTAATAAGTCTCCTACATCTACCACCATGAGATTTGAATAGACAATTGGATCTCTGTGTGCTAATGTGGTATGGTAACTTGAACTGATGTACGTGCATACCAAGTTTTACGTTGTAGCTGATTGACTGACTCGCTAATCATGTTCGTTTATTTACTAATTTTACTGCCCCCCATCCTTGTCTATTTCTTCACCACATAAGTGTGCTGTAGTTATTTGATGCCCTAATATATCAGAATCTGTGTTATGCAAAATAACGATCAAAAGGAGGACGGATAATCCCAGGAATCATTAACAAATCACGCGGGAGAAGAGGTCACTCTTATTGATAGAAAACACGTCTGGTGAAAAATTGCAATTCAATCATCAAAAATCTCGATAAAAAAATTAAATTAATCCCAGTGAGAAATTCTCAAACACATAAAAATAAACATGAACCACCTGACAAGTTTATTCAAAGGAAAACGATAAGCGAAAAATCATTATTATTATTATTTTCAAACTGATTATCATTCCTCAAGTAACACGCAGTCATATCTTGAAAATTCTCATCAATAATTATTATAGTAGGGTATTGTTATATTCCATGTAGAAAGTGTTGATTTCTGCATGATACACACTCTTTTCCATCTATTGAATTGATTTTTACTAGTCAGGAACTGACATGAAAATAATGAAGGTATACTATTCCATTGAAATCTCATTCACTCGTTTCATTCACTATAGCCCCAATATTTCCCGAATACGTAATCAAGTACGCGTTACTACAGACCTTAATATAAAATGTGGCCCTAAGATGGGTAGATGATCAGTCAGTCAGATGCGATGTAGAACTTCGTACGTAAGTACATCAGTTCATGTTGCCATACCACGTCAACACAGAGATATAATTGTCAATTCAAATCCAATAGTACAAGAGGTAGTAAATGTATTAGGAGTAATCGGAGAGGTTAGGATGAGAAGATGTATGATTCAGTGAGAAAAGTTTAGAGTCGAAACTAGAGGTGTTGACGAATCCAGAAGATTAGGGTTTGAGAGAACACAAAGAATAAATGCACCGGCGCCATTGCGAACGATTTTGAGCCATGTCATTCAACGTCTCTAACCATCGATTATTATCATCTCGCGGACCCCAACCAGGTAGTCGACAATTACCGACTTGGCTCAGTCCACTAGTCAATGACTTCATGGATTTCTGCCATGTTTTGGTCTGGCCGCCCCTAACTTTCTTCCAACCTACTCCTACACTACAAAACAAAGTTCGTCGAGGCAGTCGGTGGTTGGGCACACGCAACACATGTCCCAACCACCTCAACTGATGAAGTTTCACCACTTCATCGATCGATCTGCCATCCTTGCCTAGTACTCGTTTCCTAACGACAGCATTGCTTACTAGGTTGTCCCACGGTATACGAGCAATGCTTCGAAGACACCTATGATCGAAAACCAGTAACCTACGAATATCTTCTACTCTCACTGGCCATGTTTCACAGCCATATAGGAGAACGGAGCGAACTGCTGCACAGTACACTCGTCCTTTGATTAGAGAACGGATATCACGCCTACGCCATAAGTGACGCAGGTTGGCAAAAGAAGATGGGTAGATGAACTTGCAGTTTTCTACTGGGCTACACAATATATATATATATATATATATATATATATATATATATATACAACCAACGTATGATAGAACTAACTTCAGGAGCCATCCAATAAGGTGTTCCGATAACTGTATTACGTTTGGCCAGTGTATCAGATAATTGACCTGCCACACCAAAGTCCGCTAATTTAGCAGCACCTGAATTCAGTAGTAATATATTGCCCGCTTTGATATCTCGATGAATTTTTCGCATCTGTAAATGAAAATACAAGAGATAAATTGATAAATTCAGCGGATAGAAGGCTAATACATAAGCAAGCAAATTTATGAAATAATTCGAAACATTTGAAAATATTTGAAAATTTATCCGACAGATCAAAAATTGTTTTGTTTAACTCAGTGGTTCAAGTATTTAGCTTCTGATAACGAAAATAACTATGTCTAAACAAGCCTATACATGGTGAGTACATTTACTTTATAAGCGCCTTAACCAGTAATGTACATCTATACCCTTGAAAAGATTTGTGTTCATAGAACTATGAAACAATAGAGGCTTAAATATAAATGGAGAACGAATGTCTTTGATGATTAATGCTGATAAAAACTCTAAACCAGAAGTATAATTTATCTCAAAATATTTATCAACCAATAAAATGTTGGTTTCTATTACATTTCTACCCCTTGAATAATATCTTCTAATCCTAACCTCTCCAACTACTGCTAATATAACCTTTACTACCTCTACTACTATTGGATTTGAATTGACAATTACATCTCTTTTTCACTTATTTTTTTTTCATTAACTACCTACTAAGATTAATGAGTGAAGTGCTATGGTCGTGCTTTTCACTGAAAAGAGTACCAGGCAAATACATTGACTTTATACAAACTCTCTAATCGAACACTACTGATCGTGTCAGAGCTTATGGTGAACTGTCATCTGAACTGATTACTTCAAGTGGTAGCAACCAGACTGGAAACATGGCACAAATCCATGAAGTCACTAACAAGTGGACTGAGTCGTGTTAGTAGATGTACACTACCTGGTTGGGGTTTGCAAGACAATAGTAACTTTGAATAACATGGCTCAAAATCGTTTGCGATGGCACAGGTGCATTCATTGTTTGTGTTCTGTTAAATGCTAATCTTCTGAATTCCTCATCACCTTCATCTTTCTCATCTCAAGTTTATTTCACTAGATTATACTCTTTGAATACGATCGTCAAAGCCTAATCTTTCTGAACACTGCTCATACTTTTACTATATCGACTACTTTGAGATTGGAATCGACAATTGCGTCGCTGTGTTAATCTGTATAGTATGACAACTTGAACAGATGTACGCAAGTACCAAGTTCTACGTTGCATCCAACGTTGAGACGACTTCGGGGGTCGCCAGGTCAAAAGATGTTTTTCCTTATGCTTAAAATTAGTGCTTCCAAGAAATATGCGGTTATCTGAGCACAGTTGCAACAGACGGTCGCCATTGTCTGTTCTTTGAGCCGCGACATCATAACATCCACCCAGGTGTCTTTCATTTTGACTTAGTCTACCTACTTGAGCATTGAAGTCACCAGCCATTAATACTATATCAGAGCGCTTAACTTTTTGGAGGAGGTCCGAAAGCTTTCTGTAAAACTCATCTTTTACATCATCTGGACTGCAGTCAATGGGGGCGTAGGCTGATATGACGAAGAGGCGACGACGAGTGTCCCTATCCTTTCGAATCCTTACTGTCCCGTTTCGTCGGACTGCGCACAAACGACTATCTACAGGGATCCAGTCAAGGAGAGATTGTCCTGCCCTACGACTCAATGCTATACCTACACCAGCGAGACCCCTGGAAGCAGCATCAGCGCTACCGGATACACGAATGGTAAATCGAGCTGCTTCTTTATCTTGACATGGTGAGGTCAAGTGAATGATGCTACTCGGATCTTGTATGCGCGTTTCCGAGACGCAGCACACATCGATTGGGCGAGATTCATAAGTCCCAGCCAATGAAGCCTGTTGCCCTATTTGACACAATGTCCGTACATTAAATGCTCCAACGGGGTTTAAGGAGACCAGGAATGACGTTTCGTGAACTCGCATCGTTTGCATTAGCTGTGCACTGTGATAAATGAATGTGAGAAGAGTTAGTCGTGGAGATAAGAGAGGTATTAGGGGGTGTAGGAAAAAAATCACTAAAATATCAATAATCTTTCTTACCTGATGTAAATAATCTAATCCACATAGACTATAATGTAGTACAGTAGCAATTTCTTCTTCACCTATTGCTTTACCTCTTAAACGCATAATATCAGCTATGGAACCAGCACCACAATATTCCATACATATCCATAAATCTTGACTATCAAATAAACTCCCATAACATTTTACAATAAATGGACTATCACATTGTTGCATAATTGATATTTCTTTTACTATATCAGCTAAATCACTGTCAACAGGTACCTATGAAATTATAATAATCGATATGAAAGTGTCAAAATTTAACATAGAATAGAGTAGTGAACATTTACTTTTTGTTCTTAATATGGTTACATGGTGATTATGTAAAGTAAGCTACAGTTATTAATAGGACTATTTTAAGATTTAAGTCAAACAGTAACTTATATTAGCGTAGTAGAGACTAGCATGAATGTGTATCGGTTAAAGTTGTAACACGAAATTAACAGGAAGAGAAGAAATTAACGAGATGAGAAGTATATCATAGAAAATATTAAAAACAATGGAAGTTTGAACATGAAATATGATTCAAAATGAAGAAATGTGATACAGAAAGTAAACTTTAATGATCATACTCTGAAGTAAATGAGATCCTTAACAGAAAGTATTTTTGTGACAGCTTGGGTTTTACCTAAAAACCCTTATCTATGAGGATGACATTACTTATTTGCATACAACGTTACAGTCACTGAATACTTAAAAAAAGGCAGAATCTAAACTGAATTCAAAATACTAACTGTCAGTCTGAAGTCGTGTTATTATTCCATAAATGATTTTTAAGTGAGTAATACTAAAAGCATGTGTTGAGCAATGGATAGAGATAGTATACACCTACATTTAGATGAACTTTTATTTACTGAGGTGAACAAGATGTGCGTTAAATGTACTGTCCTATCGCCTATTTAACAAGCAGTGTTAGCTAACTTAGAACCAAACTGTAAGGTGGATGGAAGAAGTATAAAATATCGACTACTAGTGAGATATAACACGGATTTTACATACGTTCGAGGTCCGTGAATACATAGTAAGCAATGGTTTCAGATGGTAAGTGATAAAATATAGAATCGGTAGTTATGAAGCAGTTACAGATAATGTTTATTTTGAAAACTTAATTAAATTCTATCCACGTTATATTTAAATAATTTTTGGGGATGAAATTTATGTTGTCTAGTTTTTTAATCAAGTTGGAAACTTGTAATTTATGTCCGCTGCTGTAAAAGATTTTCAGAATGTTGCTAAGACCATGCACCATAGTATTGACTCAATTTCCAACACTCAGGCAACATCGTCTAAACCGCCGACGAATAACCATCACAAAGCTGGTTTTGGGTGTTAGAAAGCGTCATTAAGAAGATAATTACATATAAATAACCTTTTCAAAAAGTACCGTCTAAATTATTACTTTCGAATGAAGATGTTAAACATCAGAGAACTGTTTTGCAGCTAAATGGTAAGCTGCTTCTTCAAAAGGATCTAACTCAGCTTCAAATTTAGGTAAATAACGACGAATTTATCTTTAAAACTCCGAAGCACAAATTGGTCTACCTAAGACATGCGATAGACTATGTAGGCACCTTAAGTAACCCTTCTAAAAGTGTCCTAGGTTGGCAGAGATCTAGGAATTTCGGTACACTGTAACCTAATATATTATGTTAACTATGAAACAAAGCCTTTCCAGAAAATCTTGCACTGGTAACACTAAAGCGAATTTTTAACCACTTGAGAGTAGAACGCTCCACCCAATCTGTAACAACTTTATTCGGCTCCATTTAAAGTATGGAAATATGGTGTTTCCTCCCTCACTCCAATAGGATAAGAATACACTGAAGCATACCCAAGGGTGGGCCGAAAGATGAGTTCGAGGACCTAAATTCAAACCTTCCGAAAAGGGAATTAAATCATTGGACCTTTGTTAATTAGAGAATAGGCGTTTCAGAGGTGATTTTCTAGTGTCTCATAGGACAATAAACAATTCTGAGAACTTCCTGAAATAGTTAATTAAGCTCAGTTTTAATTCTAACCTTGAGGAGAATAATTAAAAAACTATAGGAATAGCAGTAGAGTGAATAGTAGTAGGCACGCATACTCTTTACGAGTAGTCAGAGTTCATAGCCGACTGAGATGGTAAAAGTGACTCTCCTGGAGCCTTTCAAGAAACTTGATATATGTTTAAGCACTCGGAACAATATCCAATAAACTACTAATATTTCCCTTTTACTTGTTAAACATACCTAGGTTCTTAACCGAAGGAATACGTAATCCATGTTCACCAGATAAAGAAATCTGTTAAGTTTTAAACCACATCTATGTTGAAATGCGTATCTTACATAATACAAACTTGAATGTAACAATCTAGCTCGGTTTACATAAGTTTCAAATATAAGTGCTTTCATTATTCACGAAATGAGTGCACTAGTAAATGGGTGAAAATAATTTTTTCCAGTAGTATGAAATACACAACTAATGTAATGAATACAATCGGGACATTAAAAAAATCTCCTGATATCGATGCAATAAAATCACTTCATTAATAAAAACCAACAAGATACTGGGATTTCGCAGTCATAATGCATATCAACAAATAGGTATACATATGATAGGCTGATTACAAACCTTTTTCACAGCAACTATCCCACCGTTTGCTTTATATCGAGCTTTGTAAACACTACCATAAGAACCTTTTCCTAGTTTGCAAATGATCTCCAAAACCTCCGATGGAGGTTTTGATAGCTCGGAATCATCCAATCGTTGCATTGGCCTTGAGTTTAATATAGCCGCCTTGCTACTTATCCAATATCCAATATACTTTTCCCAAGCAAGTGTAAACCAATTTTCTTCTTTGGGGCTATGCTTCTGTTCTTTCGGTGCAGTTCCAGGTGTTTCATAGTTTGCCTAGTTATCCATCTTATTTCAGTTGCAGTGATAAGGATCATAGGTCAGTCAACCAGTGTTAACCTTTGAAGATTATATTTCAGTGGAAATCCAGCTTTACTCTGAAAGCCTCCTTTGATGGATCCGATACCGCTTGTTCGGATGAGGCTTTCCAGTCACTGGCCACAAAGGGGGGAAAAACGAAATCTCTCTAAGTTTATTTGATTACTGTTTTTAAATCTTCTTGAAGTGGCCTTACAGATTATTATTTCTGGAGGGATCAAATCAAACTCTTAATAATAATGATTGTACTCCTACATTCAACGAAGGAAAAAATGTAGTGATAGAATTCACCCTTACTTTTGAAGTTATCGCTTCATTTTCACTTATTAACAACTTCAGTGCTCTTTTCATCCATATCCAGACTGGTACTCACAACTGCTATTTAAACCATTAATACTCACACTTAACAAATCAGAAATGTAACTTAGTGATAACTTGTTATTCATCAACTACCGTAATCTGCTCTGCTACGATTACTTACTGATTAGCGAACAAAACCATATAATAGTAAGTGAAAAACAATACGTAATAAAGCCAAGCGAACTAAATTCGACCGCTGAGGTTGTGGCTTTAAAAAATAGTGTGGTTTGTGAACGTGCACCATCTGATCGCAATAATATATTCCTGACATTCCAACACCGGCAACATAATTCAAACTATTGAATATTTTATGCAAAACAGAAGACTTCTCTTCATGAAACCTAAAAGATTTCTCAAATATACGGTTAATAAGACATAGCGTCCAGGCCAAACTAGATGAGTGGACCCCATTAACATACCATCTAGCTATGATATAAGTCAATTAAAGAGAAATAATTAAGCCGCTTTTATTATCTTATAATATGCCACACGGAGTATCCGAGCCCTTATTTCAAGGACAGCATTGGTCTACACAACTGCAGAACTGAAAACAAACATCAAATAATCTAGATAACACCATATCATCAGATCAGGTAAGAACCTCGGCAAACTACGTCATCTGTTACACTGATGGAGCCTATTATAGGCCAGTCCCAGAACTACCACAGGGAACTGGTGAATTTTCACAGACCAGATTTATCATCCTGGATGAGTCCCACGTAGGCATCCGAAACACGTATGGTCAGTCAGGTATACATAGCGTTGTGGAGTATTTTTTGAGTAACTATTGTCAGTTCACACTTACACTTATCATTGCACGCTCTTTAAATAGAATGATTGAACTTAGAACGACTATCGTAGTTGTTAAGCTCCAAATCATCCTAGTAACAAAAGCATGGTGTCACTCGTCAACACTAGATGCAGAACTTAGTATACGTGATTATACACTATGTTGTTTCAGTCGAGATCTTTGGAGGGATGGAGGATGGACGATCTACTTACATAGCCCTTCTAATGCAATTAGGTTGGAAGATAGTATACTAAACATGACTATTCTTTATGGCTCGCTGTGTGCGGCGCAAGTTATAGGATACTTTGGAATGTAGGTATTGAGCACCCAACACAAAACTTGAGACAGAAACAACCTATTTTTAAAAGTTTTCACACGTATCGATACTAGATCCTGACTTTAAAACGACTGCCGGTGACTTGATAAACCGGCATTGTCCTATAGTGATATGAAGAAATATTAGCCGCTCTAGACATTTATGACTGGAAATAGTATTTCACGCAATATACATGCGGTAATAATATCTTGAACTTGCTGTTATTTCATAGCATTATACCCAAATCAACACAGGATGGTAGTGTTCTCTACGGGCGATTACAACGCGGTATATTATTCGAATACTATAACCCCTGAAATAAATAACTAAGATCCTCATCACGGTCTTTTCTCCTCTCACTTAAATACCAAGTCAGAAAACTATCGGCACGACCCCACACTGTAAATATTTCTCATTCTTGCGCTCAGTATATGAAACTTAGGAGCCTCTCAAGTTACTCTGTGCTCTGAATAACAATAAAGAAGTGTCTGAGGCTCCAAAAACTCAGCTCCCAAACAAACAGTAACTGAGTAAACGCATGCGTAAACCGTAGAATATCCCATTTCTTATCAAGGATGACAAAGTCTGTTATGACAGTAAGTATATATGTGAAATATTTTTCGAATTCTTCGAAAGCTCGGATGAACAGTGAAGGTTAGCTTAGGGGATATAATACTTAGATACGTCGTTGCTTAACGCTCTGTCTAGAATCACGAAATAATATTATGACAAATATAAAACATTGGACAAAGTACCTCATATTATATCAAATTCTAAATTAAATTTTATGGTCATCAACAACTGCTTACTCATTTGGCTTTAATCATTTTTACATGATCAGTACCGAATTATCAAAGTTATATAAAATACATCAGCACCTAAGTGGGTAACTAGCTCGGTTATACAAGTATCTGCGCCAGGTTCTCTTTTATTCGTAATATACATCAACTGTACTTGCGACTGCTCTAAATTAGGGAAGACTTCCCTAAACGCCGATGATCATAAGAAAGTCTACGCATCCCACAGAGATGAAGTGTATAACGTCGATAATTTTATCAAACAGGGATTAGACGAGATGATATTGTTGATTGATATACAGCAACTTCACCTTAATATCAAATGGTGTGCCTAGATTAATATCGGATATAGCAGCGTCGGACTCCATTTTGAAGTGGATGGTTAACGTGTATCCAATCATAATACTACCTCAGACCTCAGCTTAATATACTCTCAAGATTTGAGTTCTTCCGAACAAATAAATTGAAGGGAACGAAAACTTACTAGAATGAATCCTGGCTGGTGCTATTTATAGTTTTTGTCCGCCTAGTGCCTGAATGTCGTCCATTTCCGACAAGTTAAAAATAAAAATAAAATAGAGCTAACTGTCAAAAGTGTTCTCAAGAATGAGATGGAACTTGATTTATTCTGTACACTTTGATACCTTGTGGTTGGAAACATACAGGCAAAGGACAGCCAGGTTTATGATACTTTCTATTTCAATCTCGAACACAGAATAATACGTTCTTACTTACTTACTTAATAACACCTGTTACCCCCAATAGAGCATAGGCCGCCCACAAGTTTTCTCCAACCAATTCTGTCCTGGGCTTCGCTTTCCAGTTCTGTCCAATTTTTGTTCATTCTTATCATATCCTTCTCTATTTCTCGGCGTAATCTGTTCCTTGACCTTCCTCTTTTCCCTCGACCTTCAGAGTTCCATGTGAGGGCATGTCCTGTGACGCAGTTAGGTGCTTTCGTAATGTGTTTCCTATCCACTTCCACCGCTTCTGGTGGAAGTGGTTTGTTCTATCCCACAGTACGTTGTTGCTGATCGTGTCTGGCCAACGAATACGAAGTATTTTGCGTAGGCAGCTGTTAATAAACACTTGTAGCTTCTGGATGATGGCTTTGGTAGTTCTCCAAGCTTCCGTTCCATACGGTAGAACTGTCTTGACATTTGTATTGAAAATCCTGATTTTGGTTTTGGTTGGAAGTTGTTTGGAGTTCCAGATATTTTTCAACTGTAGAAATGCATCCCTTGCTTTGCCAATCCGCGTCCTCACATCTGCATCCGATCCACCTTTCTCGTCGATGATGCTGCCCAGATATGTAAAGATGTTAACGTCCTCCAAGGCATCTCCATCAAGAGTGATTTGGTTGGTGCATGTTGTGTTGCATCGGAGAATTTTGCTTTTTCCTTTATGTATGTTGAGACCTACTGCTGCAGAGGCTGCTGCTACACTGATCGTCTTCTCTTGCATTTGTTGTTACGTGTGCGATAGAAGAGCCAAGTCATCTGCGAAGTCCAGGTCGTCCAGCTGTGTCCTAGCTGTCCACTGAATACCGTGCTTCCCTTCAGATGTCGACTTCTTCATAATCCAGTCGATGACCAGGAGAAAGAGAAAGGGTGAGAGTAAGCAACCTTGCCTGACACCGGTCTTCAACTCGAAAGAGTCTGTTAGCTGTCCTCCGTGCACGCTTTTGCAGTTGAATCTATCATAAGAATTCCGTACTATGTTAACTATTTTCTCAGGCACACCGTAGTGTCGAAGAAGCCTCCACAGTGTTTTCCTATCCACGCTATCGAATGCTTTCTCGTAGTCGATGAAGTTGATGTAGAGTGGTGAGTTCCATTCAATTGATTGTTCCACAATGATCCGTAATGTAGCAATTTGGTAAGTATATGATCGATCTTAACGAAATCCGTTGGTCTCGAAGTTGGGTGTCTACGAAGTCCTTCATTCTGTTTAACAATACCCTGTTGAAGACTTTGCCTGGTATTGAAAGAAGAGTGATGCTGGATTCTTCGGTGCGTGAAAAAGTCGCCTAATGATTATCACATGCTCCCCCAACTCCTTCAATCAGCAATAGGTCTAACCTTTAACATCTCACCCCTAGCATTCTGAGTTTTCTCCATATTTAAAGTCGTATCATCATCTTCTTATCTTTCACATGTGTTTTAATTTTTATTTCTATTAGACGAAGAAATTGCGAAATATATAGATGCTCTCAACCATTATTGACCACAATAAACTCAAACGACGATTGCGAGTTCATCCTAGTTCACGTAATACTAGTTTAATAAATTTTGTATCTCCAATTTATTTAAACTTAGTGATGTCCTTACTCACTAATTTTTGCTTCATATTCTTTTATCAGCTGCCCATTCTTTTCATCTCCTAACTATCTATTAACTGACCTTTATCTTACAGTTGGTAAATTTAATAGCAGTGTGATGTGCTTCATGGATAAATCATACATTAAACAAATGCTAAAGTTGTCTGGTTTGTTTGTAACATGGAGCTACACAGAGAGACAGTGTAATCTGACAATGTGTACAAAAAATAGTCCTCAGGCTGAAATATTTATTGAAATACACGACAAACGTTAGAGAGCCTAATATCACAAAGGAAGGTAGGGCAATAACCACAATCCATCCATATTCATCAGAACTTTTTGTTTGCTTACGGATCCTTAAGATATAGTAGGGTGTAACTAATCATAGATATTAATGTTACTTTGCCATATCTTTGACTAATGTGTATAACCTTCACCAGGTTTTACTTCTTACTAATAAATCCCATTACAAGCTGATCTGTACAATTATGTTGGAAAAGAGCTCTCTCGTGACTTGAGAGTAAATTATCATTATTATTATTACCATCAAATATTCTCACATATTCCGATATCTCTCCGCCTAGTGGGATTCGACTGATACATGCTGTATTATATCTACGGATCTTGCATTTTCCCCTGTATTTGTTGAGACCCACTTCAGCAGAGGCTACTACTACACTGGCCGTACTCTCCTGAACTCGTTGTTGAGTGTGCGACAGAAGAGCTAGACCGTCTGCGAAGTCTAGATTCTCCAGCTACCGAAACTAGCCAGAGGATAACCGAAAGTACAGAGCAGCCAAAGCAAGATGGCGACCAGAAAGAGGAGAAGCTATGTGATGGTAGTGTAGTAAGAGTTTATTTACAAAAGGGACCAAAGGTAGTTCGTAAAACAAAAGCATGAATAAACAAATATTCCGCAATGCGTTCACTGGCACGATTGATTAGAATAATTAGTGTTGATATTAAACCAATCGTGTTTAAGTAAAAAGTAAAATCACTAAAAGGTCCGCAAAAATTTGACAATGAGGATTGTTCTCAAAGCTGAGAAGTATCAGCGTCTGAGGTAACATTCTGCTGCGAATAAATTGCTTCTTGGCCGGGTACAGACTGATATATTGTTAGTTCTACGTTATCTGATTATGCGACAATGTTTCTTGGTGCTTCGATGTAGAATCTGAAGACCAATTTTTCTATTGTAAAATTTATGTAATCTTCTTACTATTCGATTACTATCGGTTTTGTCACGTGCAAATGGTACGATGGTACTCAGGGAAATATAAGAACGAACGGCATAGTGTAAAACGCCAAAACAACTCACAATTATCGGTATTCGACGACGGTCAGTTATCAACTTCCAGAACCAGAGTTTAGAAAAAGCTCATGTTAAGAACACCACAAGTCAGCAACCATTTTATACAGATGATTGAGTGACCAAACATGCCTAAGAAACAACAAGTAAGTAGATTCACATACTTCAAAATCCTCCATAAGACGATGTATTGGGTAAGTTTAATATATTTCCATGACCAAACAGATCCGAAAGGTTTTAAGCTCGATCTTCAAATTATTGCACGGCGGTTCCGTCTAAAGTGTTATAGTTTTGCTTTATTTGGAAAAATCTGATTAGCAGCTGAAGTGGAAAAGCCTTTTAGATGCAGATACAGTTATTTTCCAGCTGACTTAACGAATGAGTAAGTAGAAGTTTTTGTCCAGACGTATAGTCAAAGTCCCTCATACCATTCTTTTAGATAGAAATTTAAATTTACCAAACGATCCCTAGCGATAGGACTGACTTAAGCTTATTATTTTTATATCATAATTCAGCAATTAAGAAAGGTAGGTATGTACGCAGATGCGCGTAAAATAAATTTGGCGGTAGATTAAACCACGTGATAATCTTATTCGATGTTATCTGCGAGGGATTTCTATCGCTTACAAAAGTTGAGTAGTCAGGTAAACATTTTGTATTTATAGTAAGATAAGACGTGTTAAAGTTCTAAAAAAATACATAATGGAGGAAAATACTACGTTCTCTAATGTTAAGGTCAACTTGGCGATTGGTTGACTTGTGGAGGATAATCGTGTTAGTGGTCTATGCAGTTATTTTCATTTAGTAGAAGTTTAACTTTAAAGCCTTTCAACTACTTACCTGATCTCTTACTAAGCAACACGTTCTCACTGTATCTAAAATGCGCGACTGGTTTACCGAAAGTGTTCTTTTGAATATCCCTGAAACATTAATTTGTTTTAAAATGGTCAGTTCGCAGCAACCCCGAAAGCATCAAGAAACAGAACCAGAGGCTTCATGGGAAATGATCTCGTAGTCAACTCACTTTTTTTCTACACAAATTAACCCTAAAAGCTAATATGAAATCTAGTTTCAACCCTCAACTATGTCCATTAACAGCCCTTTAACTCCTTCATTTTGCATCCACGGCTTGTGATGCGAGATTGGTATGTAGATCGCAGCATTCAGGATAAGGGTCCGGCTTAACTCTTGAGATACCGAGTTCCGAATTTTTGCTTTGGAATCAAAACTGAGGTCTAGGATTGGAATTAACTTATAATGTTAGCCTTTTATGTGTCGCAATCTAAAGATATTGCTTTGGATGCTAATTTTCAAATGATATCTTAACTTAGATATAAACCAAATAAATAAAGTTTTTTACTTGACGAGCTTCCGTTGTTAGTTTTTAGGTAAGGGTCTACTTAAATGGAATGGGAGTCCAGCTGATAAACTTACTAGAGTCCAGTACTTAACTGTTGGAATCGCTTAGTCATGCTTATGATATAGTTCTACTTATGTAATAGTGCCTTCACTGTAGCTGTTAGTGGCCCGGGACTGGACTCTGAAAGTCCTTTTCATTGCCCTCTCGTTGTTTACGGAGATGGGTTTCCGTCGGGGGCTCTAACCGGATTGGTTGGTACAGAGGATCCACCTACTAAAGTTGGAAAACCAAACGAGTGGTCCTTATAGGCTCCAGGATCCTGATGGAACGAATGGCGCATGAACTTATTATTAATCATTTGTTAACATAGGACTACATCTACCTGATGGAAGGTTTGGGGAATGTCCCTCAAAAAGATCCATCTCTTTCGTTTTGTACAACCATAGGGTACCCTAGCTCACAAATTTGCATCTCTGTGCTATCGTGGTATGGAAACTTGAGCTATCAGTCAGTAAGTTACAACGTATAACTTCGTACGTACGTACATAAGTTCAGGTTACCATACCACATTAGCACACTGACGCAATTACCAGTTCAAATCCCATAATGTTACGGATAGTAGATGTATGGACAGTAATCAGAGAGATTAGGACTCAAAGATATTATTCAAAAAGTATATCCAAAATAAATTTAGAAAGAAAGATGATATGAAATTCAGAAGATTAGGATTTGAGAGAACACATAGAATGGATGCATCTGCTCTATTGCGAACGATTTTGAACCATGTCATTCAAGGTCTCTAACCATCGGTCAGTTTCGTCTCATGGACCACAGTAAATGGTCTACACTTACCAACATGACTCAGTCCATTTGTCAGTGACTTGATGGATTTGTGCCATGTTTTGGTTTGGCCGCCCCTAGCTTACTTCCAACCTACTCTTACATCACAAAACATCGCTCGTCGATGCAGCATTTTAGTCGTGGAGATAATGGAAATGTTAGCGGGTGTATGAAGGATTTTATTGTGACCAGTTCAGTCCCGTCTGCTGTTACGGGTATGAGGGGGGTTGTCACTTACCGGCTGCCCACACCGTGGAATGGTGTTTCTTGAGAAACATGAGCAGGAAGTTAGGTTAGTTTTGGCCTTAGAGACCTGGGAGCGTGACCGCAGAGCCCGAGGGCCAGCTTCTTGAGGCCGGTCACGCATGGCCTTTTATGAGAAGTTTGTAAAGTATTATCTGCGCTCTTCAAGTGGCCTTACCGATTGTGACAGAGATCCGTGAGGTGAATTGATATGTGACAGCAGCATCGCTGCAAATGCTGGATGTCTGAGGGAAACGCCTTACTACTATCATACCCCTGTTCAGTCAGCAGTACGACTTCGTTCTCAGACCTTTAGTTACTGTTTTTAGTCTTAACGTTCTCTAATCGGGCATGGCAGAACCTACTGTCAATATAGCACGGTTGGGTCATCACGATAGGGCAAGCCCGACTACCACGTCAAGGCACAGCTGCTGTCGGGGAAACTTTAAATGATATGCGTACATACGAAGTTCTACGTTGTTGTTGACTAACATACCTCCTACAAATGTAAGTGTTTAAACGGATAAATACAATTAATTTAGTACATATCCTCTTAACACTCTTCAGATCATTTGAGTATCTACTAAAAGATTGATTGGCTGCAAAAATACAATATTCTAAGTGAGGTCTTGCGTAAGCGTATCCTGAAATACAGAGTTTGAACTGTATGTACCATTAGTTTTCATATTTGCTTTTTACAGAATTTCGGTCTCACACTTCACCTGTATTTTTTTTATAGGGTAAAGTTAAAAACTCAGAAGAAGGTATCTCATTGGTCAAAAAATTAAATAAATCGTTGGATACGTTAGATGCTCCTTGCGATGGGAATGCGATTTCAAAATCTTTAACCTCTGAAACATCAAATCAACTGCACGATAAAAGTAATGCTAAAAAAAGACGAAGAGTAAAAAAGCGAAAATCCTCAGTTAACAACGAGTCTTGTGTAAAAGATGTTAACTGTTCTAACAGAACTCAAGATCTTGAATCTAGTTTAAACACCACATACATAACTGATGATTCTGATCAGGAATTCGGAAAATTACATACAAAGAAACAAAAGTGTGATCTTAAACAAGGATCACCTAGTAAAGCAGTTGCTGAAATAAACCATAAACTGTCTCCTAAAAACAACGTTCCGGACGCTTCACTACGCCCTGAGACCTTGTCATTATCATCAAAACAGAATATCAATAGCCTGAATCCTTTGAAACAAGGTGAACGGTTACTCAAAGAAATGCTTGGGCCCATCACAGTCGAAGAGTTTATCAGGTTTGTTCAATAATTTTTATTTGATTGACTATTACACCAAACATTTTTGCATTGATTAGCATTTTGTTTGTGTTAGTTGCGCTGTTTTTTTTTGTAAAAAAATTAACTTGTATAGATGTAGAATTTCCAATAAATTCTAATAGGTAACAATCCTCAGTGAGACAACAGGAACTCAGTAAAAAAACGAACGTCACTGACAGGTGGAGTGAGCCATGTTGTCGGGTGTAGACTACTACCTGGTTGGGGTCCTCGAGATGATAATACCGATTTTTTAGGGACTTTGAACGACATGGTTCAAAATTGTCTGCAATGGCACAGGCGCATCCGTTCTTTGTGTTCTCTCAAATCCTAATCTTCTGAATTCCTCATCACCCTTGTCTTTCTCTTTTTAAATTCACTGAATTATACTCCTTGAATAATATCTTCGAACCCTAATCTCTCCGATTACTTCTAATACTTCTACCATCTCTATCACTATGGGATTCAGATTGACAATTGCACCTCTGTGCTAATGTGGTATGACAACTTGAACTGATGTAGTTACGTACGAAGTTCTACGATGTAGCTGACTGACCGAAATGAATGAATGAACACGTATATGGTATTAGATTCTCTAAAGTGTTTTAATTAAAGAATTGTTTAGGTAGTATCTATTTCACTAGATAACTGTATTATGGAGCATCTCTTATCGTTATAAGCTACATCATCTGTGAATACTTTATGCTGGAGTATCTATAGTCATGAATTCAACACAATGGATTGTCATTATTTATTGGCTAGTAATAACGGGATACGTTGTGTTGTAGTCTGAAAATCTTTATCTTTATAATACTATTCAAGAAATAGTTACTTAATGGTCTAAACACACTTGTCATAGATTCAAGCCCAACTCTACCTACTTCGGTTTCAAGTGACCTGGTAGCATCACTATCCAACAGTTAGTCATTCAACACAGTATATGTAATTCAAACTGTTAGGATATTCATCCAAAATATCCTAAGAGAATTATTGGCCATTTCCTATTGGTTAATTCCTACTGGTCAATTTTATGGTCGTCCTAGATATCAATGTCACGTGCTCCAATGTTGTTTCTTATTGGTTGTCCTGACTATCAATGTCACTTCAAATCTTGCTTCTTATTGGTCGTCTTAACTGCCAATGTCGCAGACTTCGATGCTGTTTCTTATTCGACCAAAATGTATAAATAGGCATTATGTGTAAGGTTTTATGACCAGGACCACGACCCGTTCCCGGATCCTGGTTCTCTTCTGGATTCGGACCTCGTACTTTCTGGATGCTTGTAGAATACAGGTTCTTCTTCATACCAAGTCTTGTTCTTTCACCCAATGGGGGTTGGGATAATTGGATTAGAGTAGCATATCGTGTCACTGGATCCTCGCTCTCGCCTTTCCGACTAGGTAAACTCGTAAAATAGTTCAAGTATATCAAGTTGACGTGTTTACGTGCATGCGTAACACAAAGATGAGTACATCGGGACTGTACTTACTAAATTGTTTATCATATATAATGATAATATTGGTAAATTTCATTGAATTGTCTGCTAACTGTTAATATTTTTCTTTTATCCTTATTCATTAGAGCCAGGTATCAAAAATCTCCGTTACATGTCGAACGGTCCAGTTCAAAATGTGGTGAATGGTTGAATTTTTCTTTCATAAAAAAATTATTAGAGAAGGTAGGTTATTTATAATCTTTAGTTACTTACCTATGTCTTCAACTATCTAATCATCATTTTATTGTTGTACTGTGTTTCGTCCGTTGAGCTTAGAGGACGAAACACCACCATTTGAGATGGATACACAGACTATAGTTGTTTGAAAGTTGATAATACTGTTAGACTGACTGCATGTTAATCTGTATCAAGATATATATATATACTGTGTGAATAATTTGTTGGCAGGTGTCTGTCTTAACTATTATCTTTCAATTAGAGTTATGAAGATCATTGTTTTTCCACTCTGAAATCATGAAGCAATCGCTGTTAACCATTATTGACTCCTTTTATCAATTCCTCCAGTTCACTTCATTATTATAGTTTCGATAATTGTCCAAAGTTTCGTTATTTGCAGTCTTATGGACTTGATCTAAACCATCTGTGTGTTATAGATTCTTTGACGTCTATAATCTTTACAGGTTTACTGTCGTGATTAGTTTTAACTTGACAGCATTGATGTATGTCTTAATTGCTTGCATTATAAGAGAAGACAGAATAATTCTGTACTTTTGTGATATACTTTATAAATAACTATGCTGGTGAACTATTCTGTATTTTATTAACTAATATCAAATATCTTAGATTGATAAGATTCAGCCAAGAATGAATTCTGTCTCACAAGATGATTATAGGTACACTCTACTGACAATCACCGACTCATATAGGATATAGGCCTAGGATTTCTTGTTGCTTCCCTCCTACCACTTATATCTAAGAGCACAGTGTACCTTGTATCAAGTTATTTAAACTAGTGATCACATCGTAAACTGATCAGTTCAGTGTTGTCAAGACTAAGCAGTCGGAGGACGTGACATTGTTTACTGCTCAATGATTTCCTAGTAACAAAATCTTTTAGGTAAAATCATTCAGACACTTATGAATAAATTTTTACCGTATGTGTACGTGTGTTATTTTTCAAATGATAACCCAAGTAAAGGAATTTGTTCCGGTTTATTAAATCTGCTTATTCAGACCAGTAGTTCTCCTACCTCTAACGTTCTCGGACACTTCACTGATTCACCCGGTTCCAAAGTAGAAACATGACTTCGATTGAAATGAAGATAGAGTACAAAGCAAAATAGCACGTAACAAATTGTCATTGTATATGCAAACTTCACATAGGGATATTCCAGAATCTTCTCAACTCATCCACTTGCACTGATTGGTTGAAATTAGACCAATTAAATCTTTGTCCTATCAACAATGTTTTCGGTAAAGTTTTTGTCAAGAGCTGATATCGAATCAAATAGTACTGATAATCTGGTGCGAATTTGTGACCCAATGAAGTATGCGTACTGCGGATGTAATATGTAATATCTTGTGAGAAAAAAAAGTCTTGATAAAATCAAACTATTTCATTTTCTTTCAGGAATTTCTCTTTTTCGGTCAACATGTGGATTTAATCGAAGGTAAAACTCTACAAAATGGTATTGTTAATCCACCTGGTCGAGCTTTTGCCGGGACTGTGTGGGAGCATTATTTTGTAAGTGTTTATTTTGTTTGATAAAAATATCAAATAATTTTCTTTTATACGCAAGCATTTAGCATTTATTTTTATATCCGATTTTGTGTTTTTGTTTGTGAGGCTGTTAATAACCAACCGTTGTCAACACAAAACCTGAAATGATTGTACTTACTTCCCGACCGAAGTTGCTACCTTGACGTGGTGGTCGGGCTTGCCTATTGTGATGACCCAACCGAGCTATATTGGCTAGAACATATGTTCCTGAAGGTTCTACCATGCCAGGCAGGTCGATTGGAGAGCGATGAGACTAAAAGCAGCTACTCAATGTCTGAGGGCGAAGTCGTACTGCTGACTGCAGAGGGGTGTGACAGCAGTAAGGTGTTTCCCTAGGATAACCAGCATCTGAAGCGATGCTGCCTTCTCACAAGGAAGGAAGGGGTTAGAAAAGTTCGACCCTAAAAATGTCACACCTCACCCTACCTCACGGATTTCCGTCTCTTTGGGTAAGGGTGCCCACTAAGGGCTTTTAAGAGCATAGCTAACCCCCAAAAAACCTTTAATAAAAAGGCCGTGCGTGACCGGCCTCAAGCAGTTGACCCTTGGGCTCGGTGGTCACGCACCAACACTAATCTATCTTCCTTTCCAGGTCCCTCAAGAATCAACCTTCCACGGTGTGGGCAGCCGGGAAGTGACGACCGCCCTCATACCCGTAACAGCACGCGAGACCAAATTGGTCAAAATCAAATCCTGTTACTCCTAGTGGAGCATAGCCCGCCGACCAGCATTCTCCAACCTACACTGTTCTGGGCCTTCCTTTCTAGTTAATGAAACTTCAAAGATAAATGAAGTGTTTAAGTTATCCACTAATTCATTTAATTAAATCATACTGGTAGTGTAAATTTCATGTTTAAAAGTAAAGAAAGTTTGATTAGATAAGTGTTGTAGACTAATTGATTCCTTCTTTTAAATGACTACACTGAAAATCATATTTTGTAAAGAAGTAATCGGTCAAAGATTAGTGGGCTATCATTTCTCAATATCTGCTGTTAACGGGACATAGATGGATTAAAGTATAATTGCGTTAGCTGCGCGCTGATTGGCTAATTCCTATCCAATCAACGCTAGTCGATACTTGGAGTACATTCCAGAAGCTTCTCATGTGAAAACTGTAAAGAGACTAACATTGTTCCCTATTTGGCCTTTGCTTCGGTTTCTTATTTCCATTTAACCTTGCTATTCGGAATATAAAACTTTTTCCTATTCAACTGTGTTTTGATTTGCGGACTAATCGAGTGTATTGTTGTGAGAGAATATACACTAAGCCATCGGAGTAGCTGGGGTTACTAAGAGAGAATTATAACATCTGCTACATAGAACTAGGATATAGGTGTCGACTGATTGAACGTCAGCAACTTAATCATTCCAACATTTCCTGTTACTATATATTTTTGCAGTATACTGTCAATTAGATTTGTATTGAAATCATGAATAGATCAATACTAGACCACCATTAGAAACAGTGAAGCACTAGATGGCCGTTTCGTCCTTGTATGGGACTCATCAGCAGTGCGCAATCACGACTCCTGCAACACGTTGGATTCGAATCTACGACCCCCGGTCTTGCGCGTGACCATTGAACTTCTGCACCATTGAGTCGGTATCGAACCGTTTTAATGTCTAATTTCAATCAATCAACGGTCTTGCGCAACCTTATCCACTGTCTTCAGTGAGCATTGCTTCACACCCGAACAGGCTTGAACCCAACCAGTGCTTCCAGGTTTCCAATGGTTACCTATCATTGATCGATTCATGGCTTCAATCAAGTCACTCGACAATCTCCACAATCCTACCATACAATTAGATTTCGTTTCTCTCTTTCTCTTTGTTTTATTTCTTTAGCAAAGAAAAGTATTACGTTTTAATAATCTTCAAACATTCTCCAAACGTCTCCGTTTTCGTATTGATCTTTTACAAGAATATTTCGGTTGTAATTTTACCATTACTGCTTATTTATTACCGTCGAAATCAACTGGATTATTGTCGAATCAATTAGATTATGACTTATTTATATTACAGCAGGAAGGTTCACAGAATTTTCAAATTACAAGGTATCATTGTAGTTGGTTAATCGTGTTTGTTTTTAAAACCATATTGTTAAGTAACAATTGTATGTAATTATTATCCAAGTTGGGGAAAACATTTAAACAAATCTATTTTCCATAATTCAGAATATCATTTGACATGTTATCTGAAGGTGTAATACTGTAAGTGTTTGTCTTTCAAGTGTTGCGCTAGTACTTACTTTACACTGGATTGTAGTGACCAGCGTCATGTGCATCGGCTCTTTCTTAGTGCTGATCGAATTCTGTTGCGATGTGACCATTAATTTGGGTGACTCGACATTGTTTGCCTTATGTTGAAATGTAAAGTGGTGTCTGGATGTAGTCGACAGAAATCACTGCTTAATCTAGGTTTCGTATTAACTGGTCATATTTCAACTTGATTGATAGAATTCGATGAGCACTAAGAAGGGGCGGACGCACATGATATTGGTCACTAATACCCAATGATCGATCATTTGTAAATTCATCTCGGTTCTACATTAGTGTTATGCTTGCCATCAGTTGATATGCTTGAAACTATTACGAGTTCACCTTAGTCGGTAAACGAAAGCGAAGACATGACCCAGTGACACGATAGGCTACTCTAGTCCGGGCATCCCAAGGCCCCACTAAGTAAAGGAAGGAATCTTGACAAGATGTCGAGAGTGTATTCTACAAGCACCCAGAAAATATGAAGTTTAAAAGCACACAAATCGAGTTTATTTATACATAATAGAAACGTCCTTGGAAGAGCCATAAAAATAGCTTACTAAAATAATACATCAACCAATGACAGTCGAGGATTTTCCGAGTGGGAAATGTAATCTCAAAGTCAACTGATCAACCCATGCGCGAAGGCATAAAATCCAAAATTAGGACCTTCTTTATCACGTGAGCTCTGGGGATCTAATGTCTCCAACAATGTGATCAGTTGTGACCCAGATAATTCAGTAGGTAACATCGCCGATTGTGATGCTGAGTGACACGAGATCGAATCCGTTAGAAAGCTTCAGTTGCTGCTTAACCACCTGGATCAATGGAGATTCACTATCTCATCAATAGATTTATCTATTTTGCGAAGTACCCTATGAATGTATGATGATATACCTGCGTTTTTGCAGTTGATTACATATTTATTTCACACATAACTATATAATTTTCACAAAATTGATTTTTGACTATGTAGGATTTGAATGTGTAATCAAATGACTCAACTGTTCAGTCAGTCACACTATTAGCCGACTGGGAAACTTAACAGGCTTCATTTATATTTTATGTTCAATCAAATAGAGCTCTGGAAATTTTCACGTACAGTGGTGTGTGAGACTAGTCGTGAAAGTCAGTCAGTCAGATGCAAAGTAGAACTTCGTACGTAAGTACATCAGTTCATGTTGCCATACCACATCAGCACAGAGATGTAATTGTCAATTCTAATCCAATAGTAGAAGAGGTAGTAAAGGTATTAGAAGTAATTGAAGTAGTTAGGACTAGAAGATATTATTCAAGAAGTATGATTCAATGAGAAAAGTTAAGACAGTCAAAACTAGAGGTGTTGAAGAATCCAGAAGATTATGATTTGAGAGAACACAAAGAATAAATGCACCGGCGCCACTGCAAACGATTTTGAGCCATATCATTCAAGGTCTCTAACCATCGATTATTATCATCTCGCGGACCCCAACCAGGCAGTCAAGAACTACGGACATGACTCAGTCCACTCATCAATGACTTCATAGATTTGTACCATGGATTTCCTCTCCAGTCATAGATTTCTTATCTGGATTCACATTCATTGTGTGTATGACTGCTTATCATTGCCTATCGTTCTAATACTCTAGTGTCTCGTGAATTAGGTATCTGGTTTAACGTGATCTTGTCTTTGTGTTGATTAACAACGGTACTACTGTAGTGAACGAGAACACAGGTGGGGCAACCGAATTGTATTTAACGAAATTACACAGTTACTCAGTAAAATTGGAAAACCATATCGTAAATTGTTCATTTGCAAAATATCAGTTCATCATATTATCGAACTGGACTGTTCCTGTTGCCAAACATCAATCCATTGTCACTATTCATGCGTTTCATACAAATTCCATTGTTTTCTAACTTTTCCTTTCTTGATCTTCCCCCATATTATGCTGCCGGACATTATGTTGACACTCACGTCATATACTACTTATAAGTAGGTCACACCACACTACCACTATTACTATGGAATTCGATTTGACAATTCGATCTTTGTGTGTTAATGTGGTATGTCGACTTGAACTGATGTACGTACGTACGTAGGTACGTACAAAGTTCCAAATTGTAGCTGACTAACTGGTTATCGTTGATAAAGAAAAAATATCTCCAACACTACAATTAATAACATATATAGAGTTTGTGTAATCTTGTCGACAAAAAAAAATGTTTCCCCCTTTTCTTTTTCTTCTGTTTACAGTAACGATAAAGCGATGAATTTCAAAGGTCAAAATAAACGTAAGTTTTTCTGTTTGACACTTTTTTTTTTTATTAAACGGAAAAGCAACTATGATATAATTCAGTCTGTGTAATTAATAGTTGAAGTTTAATATGTACATATATATTTATGAAGCAAATAATTATGTAAGGGATAAACACAACACAATTTGTAGCCCAAGTGGATGATGACTGTAGTGGAGTTTCATTCTCTGGGTTGGATGTTTTAGTTGTGGCGCTTTCATTGTTCTTCTTCTGTGAATAACAGCATCATCAGCACAAACGTCTATCAATCAGAAGAACAATGAAAGCTACACAACCAAAACATCCAGCTCATTGAACGAAACTCTACTGCAAACACAAAAGCGACCATGATCTGAATAATGAGGATGTTGTTTGATAACTGAAATATTTTATCTTTTAGTTGCTCGACATCTGACTCAGTTTGGACAAACAAACGATTACATATTCTGTGAAATAAAAATCTTCGCGTTTATTTCTGTATAGATCATACTTAGGTGAACCCCGTTTGTGCGTTGGCGGTAATCAGAAGTCAGATATAGTTTTGTGCATGAAGATCAGGATTTGAGAGAACACAAAGAATGGATGCACCTGCGCCATTGCAAACGATCTTGAACTGAGATTTCATCTATCACCAGGCCATCAGCACTGATGACACTCTCCAGATAAGTGGAGTGGTCTACATGTTCGACTACTTCACTTCTTATCACTAGTTCAGGTGCCGATGAAACCCAATCTTGAAGCAACATTTTGCATTTCGAGGGTGAGAACCGCATCCCGAACATGCTTGCATTGTGTTGCTTAGGGTAGTCAGAAGACTCTGCACTTTTTCAGCGTCTTCACCAAATAGAACTATGTCATCAGCATATTTACAAGTCAGCAAGCGTGTCTGCTGGTAGAGGCTCCTTATAATTCGATTGGGCCCATTCACAGTCAGCAAGCCAGTTTACCACATCAACATAAGAAGAGCGGCAATAGAGAATAACACAAACCTTCATTTGGTTATTGAATTTGATCCCTTCTACTACTATATGATAGACATGTTTATTACTTATTGAATAGTCTTGCTATTTTCATTACTATTTCATTGAATAGTTTCTTTCTATCAATTTTATTATTATTATTATTTAGGCGTAATGTCTGTGAAGTTGAAACCTGGAGATTTACTTTATATTCCTAAAGGATTCACTTACACTATATCACATGACAATAATACTCAGCATACATTACATCTTTGCATTAGTTTTGATGAAAAGTATAATTGGGGCGATTATTTGTCTGAAGTAAATTAATTTTAATGAATTTTTTTCAAACTTTTTATTATTTCTGTGTATCATGTGACATTAAAGTAATCAGTGTCATTTCACTTCGAAACTGGTTTGAACTCTCGTCCTATCTAGCTCTCATACCTTAATTGTAACTGATCTACACTTGATCTGCCAGCTCTAAACGTCAGTTACCATTTGTGGAGCATAGGCTACCGACTAGGATTTTGCGTCCATCTCTGTCTTTGGCATTCTCCTTTCTAGTTGTTCCGAATTGCTACTAATTATTTCCATGTGTCTGCCTCCGACTCCTGATGCAATGTGCCTCGTTGGTCTTCCTTGTTTTAACTTGGCTATGAGAGTTCTTAATTAGGGCTTGTTTTATGGTACAATTGGGCGATTTCCGTAATATGTGTCCTGAGATGCATATTAATGTGCCCCTAAGGTTCTACTTTCTCTTTCTCCTGGTCATCGACTGGATTATGAAAACGTCAACATCTGGAGGGAAGCACGGTATCAACTGGACAGTTAGGACGCAGCTGCACGATCTGGACTTCGCAGATGACCTGGCTCTTCTATCTCACACGCAACAACAAATGCAAGAGAAGACGACCAGTGTAGCAGCAGCCTCTGCAGCAGTAGGTCTCAACATACATAAAGGAAAAAGCAAAATTCTCCGATGCAACACAACATGCACCAACCAAATCACTCCCGACCGAAGCTGCTACCTTGACGTGGTGGTCGGGCTTGCCTATCGTGATGACCCAACCGAGCTATACTGGCTGGAACATATGTTCCTGCAGGTCCTACCATGCCAGGCTGGTCGATTGGAGAACGATGTGACTAAAAGCAGCTACCCAAGGTCTGAGGGCGAAGTCGTACTGCTGACTGCAGAGGGGTGTGACAGCAGTAAGGTGTTTCCCTCGGACAACCAGCATCTGCAGCGATGCTGCCTTCTCACAAGGAAGGAAGGGTTAGAAAAGGTCGGCCCTAAAAATGTCACACCTCCCCTAACTCACGGATTTCCGTCTCCCTGGGTAAGGGTGCCCACTGGGCCTTTAAGAACGGAGCTAATCCTCTAAATACCTCACATAAAAAGGCCGTGCGTGACCGGCCTGAAGCAGTTGTCCCTTGGACTCTGCGGTCACGCACCAACACTAATCCATCTTCCTTTTCAGGTCCCTCAAGAAACAACCTTCCACGGTGTGGGCAGCCGGGAAGTGACAACCGCCCTCATACCCGTACCAGCATGCGAGGCCAAATTGTTCAAAATCAAATCCTTCCTACACCCCCTAATGTCTCTCTTATCTCTACGACTAACTGTACTCACACTCCCTTTTCTCACTGCACCGCTAATGCAGACGAAGCGAGATCACGAAACGTCGTTCCTGGTCTCTTGAAACCCCGTTCTAGACTACATATTGGAGCTTTTAATGTACGGACATTGTGTCAAATAGGGCAACAGGCATCATTAGCTAGGACTTTAGAATCTCGTGCCATCGATGTATGCTGCGTCTCGGAAACGCGCATACAGGATCCTAGTAAAATTATTAACCTGATTTCACCTTGTCAAAATAAAGAAGCAGCTCGATTTACTCTTCGTGTATCCGGTAGCCCTGATGCTGCTTCCCGGGGTCTTGCTGGCGTAGGCATAGCGTTGAGTCCTAGGGCAGAATTATCTCTCCTTGACTGGATCCCAGTAGATAGTCGTTTGTGCGCTGTCCGACTAAACGGGACAGTAAGGACTCGTAAGGATAGGGACACTCGCCGTTGCCTCTTCGTCATATCTGCCTATGCCCCCACTGACTGCAGTGCAGACGAGGTTAAAGATGAGTTTTACAGAAAGCTTTCGGACCTCCTCCAAAAAGTTAAGCGCTCTGATATAGTTATAATGGCTGGTGACTTTAATGCTCAAGTAGGTAGACTAGGTGAAAAGGAAAGACATCTTGGTGGATGTTATGGTGTAGCGACTGAGAGAACAGACAATGGCGACCGTCTGTTGCAACTATGCTCAGATAACCGCCTATTCTTAGCGAACACCAACTTTAGGCATAAGGAAAAGCATCTGTTGACCTGGCGACCTCCAAAGTCATCTCAACGTTGGACTCAACTAGATCACATCGCCATCAGCCACCGATGGAGGGGTTCGATAGAAGACTGTCGCTCGTTCTGGAGCACATGTTTGGATTCAGATCATGCTCTAGTGCGAGCTCGTATCTGTTTAAGGCTTACTGGACATAGGAAAGACACCGTAAGGAAGCCTCTTAGGGTTTTACTTAATGATAATCAAACCAAGAAAATATTTCAGGAGCAACTAGAAAGAGAGTTAAGCAACCATGCAAGCGATTCCCATCCAGAAACAGGTTGGTATGATATCAAAAAAGCTGTGGAAACAGCAGTGATATCTGCTAGTAAGGTAAACCATGAGGCTAGGATGAAGCCGTGGATTTCAGTCGCATCCACCGAACTGATGGATGCTCGAAAACGCATCCCACCTGACTCTGAGCATGATGAAGAGCGTAGTCAGCTTAGGCGCAGACTTATAAAAAGTCTGCGTAACGACCGCGAACAGTGGTGGGTGGCAAAAGCAAAAGCGATAGAAAAGGCAGCGGCGATCGGCAACACTAGACAACTTTTCCGACTTATCAAGGAAACTGGTATTAAGAACCCGAATGTGAGTGAGACTATCTCGGAAAAGGATGGTCTTATTATCCATTCTCAATCCAGGAGACTGGATCGATGGGCAGAACACTTTAGGGATCAGTTCAACTGGCCTTCAGCCACACTTCGGTTGCCCACGATCTCCAGTCATCCTGAATGGCAAATCGACGTAAGTCCCCCTAGTCTTAATGACGTTGAGAAAGCGTTAGGAAATCTGAAACGAGGACGAGCTGCAGGTCCTGATAGACTGATCCCTGAGATATTTAAGGATGGTGGTCCAGTTTTAGCAGCTAGGTTGACTGAGATCTTAGGTAGAATCTGGGAACTGGACGTAATCCCATCCGACTGGTCTCAATCCTTGATTGTCCCAATCTATAAGAAAGGACAAAAGTCTTCTTGTGACAATCACAGGGGAATAAGTCTAACTAATATAGTATCTAAAATACTGGCCTCAATAATACTTCGACGCTTAACGAAAGCTCGTGAAGAGCAGACTCGAGAAAACCAGGCTGGTTTTCGACCTGGACGTGGTTGTATAGACCACATTTTCACGCTCAGACAGGTCCTGGAACATAGACACACATTTAGGCGTCCTACAGTAGTTGTTTTCCTAGACATTAAGGCGGCATTTGACTCTGTGGATCGTGAGGTTCTGTGGGAGTGTCTGTCATTGAAAGGTGTACCACAGAAGTACATTAAACTCATACAAGCTCTTTACTCGAACACCACTGGTCGAGTGAGAGCTTATGGCGAACTGTCACCGGAATTCTCTACATCAAGTGGTGTCCGTCAGGGATGTCCACTTTCTCCATTCTTGTTTAATTTTATCATAGACATGCTCCTAGATATAACCTTATCCTCGTCTGAATTTTCAGGAGTAGACCTTCTACCAGGTGGCTCGCTTATTGACTTAGAATATGCCGATGACATTGTCCTACTTGGTGAAGACGCTGACAAAATGCAGAGTCTTCTGACTACCCTAAGCAACAATGCAAGCATGTTCGGGATGCGGTTTTCCCCCTCGAAATGCAAAATGTTGATTCAAGACTGGGTTGCATCGGCACCTGAACTAGTGACAGGGAGTGAAGTAGTCGAACGTGTAGACCGCTTCACTTATCTGGGGAGTCTCATCAGTGCCGATGGCCTGGTGACTGACGAAATCTCAGCACGGATACAGAAGGCTCGATTGGCTTTTGCCAATCTGCGTCACTTATGGCGTAGGCGAGATATCCGTTTGCTGACTAAAGGACGAGTGTACTGCGCAGTAGTTCGCTCCGTCTTACTTTATGGCTGTGAAACATGGCCAGTGAGAGTAGAAGATATTCGTAGGTTAATGGTTTTCGATCATAGGTGTCTTCGAAGCATTGCTCGTATATCGTGGGACACCCGAGTGAGCAACCCTGTTATTAGGAATCGGGTGCTAGGTAAGAATGGCAGATCAATAGATGAAGTATTGAAACTTCACCAGTTGAGGTGGTTGGGACATGTGTTGCGTATGCCCAACCACCGGCTGCCTCGTCGAGCCTTGTTTTGTAGTGTAGGAATAGGTTGGAAGAAAGTTAGGGGCGGCCAAACGAAAACATGGCAGAAATCCATGAAGTCATTGACTAGTGGACTGAGCCATGTTGGTAATTGTCGACTACCTGGTTGGGGTCCGCGAGATGATAATAATCGATGGTTAGAGACCTTGAATGACATGGCTCAAAATCGTTCGCAATGGCGCCGGTGCATTTATTCTCTGTGTTCTCTCAAATCCTAATCTTCTGGACTCATCAACCCCTCTAGTTTCGACTCTCTAAACTTATCTCACTGAATCATACTTCTTGAATAGTATCTTCTAATCCTAACCTCTCCGATTATTTCTAATTCCCTTACTACCTCTTCTACTATTGGATTTGAATTGACGATTACTTCTCTGTGCTGATGTGGTATGGCAACATGAACTGATGTACTTATGTACAAAGTTCTACGTTGCATCTGTCTGTCTGTCTGTCTGATGTGGATGCCTTGGAGGACATTAACACCTTTACATATCTGGGCAGCATCATCGACAATCATGGTGGTACCGATGCAGATGTGAGAGCGCAGATTGGCAAAGCAAGGGCTGCATTTCTACAATTGAAAAATATCTGGAACTCCAAACAACTTCCAACCAAAACCAAAATCAGGATTTTCAACACAAATGTGAAGACAGTTCTACTGTATGGAGCGGAAACATGGAGAACTACCAAAGCCATCATCCAGAAGATACAAGTGTTTATTAACAGCTGCCTACGCAAAATACTTCGGATTCGTTGGCCAGACACCAGCAACAACGAACTGTGGGAGAGAACAAACCAGATTCCAGTGGATGAGGAAATCAGGAAGAAGCGTTGGAAGTGGATAGGACACACATTGCGGAAAGCACCTAACTGCGTCACGAGACAAGCCCTCACATGGAACCCTGAAGGCAAAAGGAAAAGAGGAAGGCCAAGGAATACATTACGCCGAGAAATAGAGAAAGATATGAGAGGAATGAACAAACATTGGACAGAACTGGAGAGAGAAGCCCAGGACAGAGTTGGTTGGAGAAAACTGTTGGGCGGCCTATGCTCCATTGGGGGTAACAGGCGTAAGTAAGTAAGTAAGGTTCTACTGGCGGAGTTGAATGAACAATGGTCATTCTTATATTGTTCTTCATAAAAATGACAGAAACTTTATTGAATAAATTTTTTCTTGGTCGTATTTCTCGTGTTTTAATATTGATTCCAATCCATCTTCTTGCTCTCTAACTTTTTCACAATTTCATTTGTGATAGAACACAGTGAGAAGACGCAAAATTGATCTGAAAAATGTTGTAATGTATTTGCGCTATACACATTTCTAACAATCTAGTCGCACACACATATTTATTTGTCAAGGCATTTTATATATGAAGATGAATAAAAGGTCAATTTAATTAAAGTTCAAACAGCGACATAAAGGTGTTAATTGTAAAAATAAAGGAGAGAGAAAATTAACCTGATATAGAAAGGGTAGGAAATTAATTGTCAAATTACCTATTAGGCCATAAAATGATTTAAAGATTACCAAGGTAAATTCAAGGTTATGACACATTGTTTCTGTACACATTGATGGGGGTGGGGTTAATTTACGAATAGCTAAGGTTTCCATAATCCTCAGAATTCGTCTCTGAACTTTTGTATACAATGTTTTTAAGACTGTCTTGCTATATTTCCCACCCTTACGGGTCATTTGACGTTCACTGATGTTAAAGTCACTTAGTTACATCATGTTCTATAACCCTTGATTGGATTATCGGATTACTCCTCCCTATGTGTGTGTGTGTGTCCATGCAAACATGTAAATTGATAAATGCATTGGGATGTGATGTAATCATTCGAACAACGTTTAGGTCTATGTGGAATCATGGGCTTAGTCTTTTCAATGATAATCAGTTTAGTAGCGTTGTATGTTTTCTCTATGGCTGCTTTTAGTCTCTGTTTAAAGATTAAACCGTTTGATGAACTCCTAAATAGTGAAGAAATATATAAACACTTCTTTTCCATAGAATAAAAGACAGGCTCTTGGACGATTGGTCATTACTTTCTGCTAACAGTTCGCTTCGTTCGAGTGTGAAACATGCCACAATAGTGGAGGGAGGATATTCGTCGGTTATTAGTATTATATCAAAGGTGTCTTCAACCCATCGCTCTTATATCCTGGGACAATCGAGTAAGCAATGCTATTGTTAGGAACTGAGTACTAGGTAGAGACGACGGATCAATTGATGATGTAGTAAATCTTCATCGGTTGAGGCGATTGGGACATGTTTTACGTATGTCCAACCACCGTCTGCCTCGACGAACGAAGTGGTCTGGTGTAGGGTTAAGCTGGAAGAAAGTTAAGAGGCGATCAGACCAAATCATTGCACAAATCCATTGAAGTCACTGACAAACTGGACTGATCCATTTCAGTAGGTGTAGACTACCTGGTTAGGGTCCATAAGGCAATCGTAACAGTATGGTTCAATGCTTTAAATGACATGACTCGAAATCTTTCTATCTGTTTTACTGTACAAAACTGTTTATAAAAAAATTGATATTTCCCTACAATTTTATTTCGTTTCAATTGTTAGTTATTACCAATAATGATAAAGAATGCTGTAGAGAATGATCCAGAATTTCATAAACCACTTCCATTGAATGCTTTCAAATATCTTGGAGTATTTTTTAATAAAAATGAAGCAAATAAACATGTAAGTGATGAATTCAGTTTGTATTTCACAAAAATTTTGTAAATTTCTCTTAGTTTATATGTCAAGGAGCTCCGACGACATATCAGCTATTTATGAAATTGTCAAGGTGTTATGAACACATGTCAACACATCAGTTGATATGCTTGAACTATTCTGAGTTCAGCTTAGTCGGTAAACGAGAGCGAGGATCGATGATCCGGCGACACGACAGGCTACTCTGATCCGAGCGTAGCAAACTCCGATAAGTAGAAGGCGAAGGCATGAAGTAGAACGTGTATATTCTACAAGCATCTAGAAAATATGAGGTCCGAGTCCAGAAGAGAATCAGGATCCCCGGACTAAGAATCCGGATCATAAAACGTTACGGACAATGCATATTTTTCCAGTTAAGTCGAATAGGAAACAACATTTGAAGAATGCGACATTGATAGTTTAGAATTCGACTTAAAAATGATTCTCTTAGGATATTCGATGAATATCCTAACAGAAGGTTAAGAAAACGTAAAGCTCTCAGCGAAATGGTTGTGATGGAGTTTCTTTCTGTGATATACACATCTGGCTCGGAGAATGGAACTCCACTAGAAATTGTGAAGGCATTATAAATATCAGTGAATGAGTCAATCGGACCTCAAACATATTGGTCCAGAGGTTAAGTGTTCGCGCGGAAAACCGAAGATCCTGGGTTCGAGTCTTGTGAGTATCAGGAGTCGTGTATACGCCTCGCTGATGGATCCCCATATTGAGGCGAGGTGGTCGTTCAGTGCTTCCAGGTTCCTAATAGTGTTCTAACAGTGATTGACTGGTTTAGCTACCAGAAAATGCGTGGAAGCCGAAAATGTTCCATCCAATTACGACCTAGTGGAATTTCTAGAATATTGACGTTGGCATACAGTGATTGGATAATTGCGTAACATTACCGTGCTTACGAATCCGGACAATTATAATGATACACACACACGGTTTCCATGTACATTTCGACACTTACTGGCGTAAACATTAATTTCCCGTTTTCTCTTGGCTTTTGATTTGGGAGTTGGGGGAGGCGGAGGTTTCACTCGTTCAAATGTCGAAGTTTGTCTTGTTTAGTAGTAGTTGTTTCCAGTAGCAAACTGAACAGTTTTGTTAAAATTAAAGTCAATACAATTGGTGTTTTTTTTCATTGGACTGATTGCCGATTCTCTCTCTTTATCTCATCCATTCAAACTGTCTCCCTTTTTCTATTTGTTAATATTCAAAGGCAATTGAATTAGAAAAAGAATTTCGTTTACAAACTATTCAACTATTGAAACGTTTAATTCATAAAATTGAACAACGTCAAACATTTACAATTCAAAAATCAAAATCTACTAATCAGTCAATTGAAGAAGAAACGCGTCGATTGTCATCTGCAACAACAACAACAACCGCCGCCACCACCGCCACCACAACGACGACGTCAAGTAAAGAAATCGAGTCCGTAAGACCACCTCAACAACAATCGCAACAACCGAATCCTTATGATAATTTGTTTATTCAAACAATTGATCCTTTACATTTGGCTATTGATAAAATTATGTTGAAAATAATGCGTGAACGATGTGCACCGGAGTTGAGTGAAGGTATTGGTTTTGTGTGTTTCTTATTTTCATTATGGAGGAATTGATTGATTGAAAGTTAGACGATAACATCTTCGTTGAATGCCAACCGATTCAGTAGTAAAGGGTCTAGGGGTTAGGGTGTTCACTTGCGAGACTCAAGGTGTGTGCGCGCTGGTCATGGATGGGGATTGTTGATGAGTAGGGATTGATCAAAGGTTTAGATAGATGCCTGCTGGCCTAGCTGTGGTCTCAGTCAGTCAGTCAGTCTGCAACAACGTACGTACGTACATCTGTTCAAGTTGCCATACCAAATTAGCATAGAGACACAATTCTCGATTCAAATCTAATAGTAGTAGAGGTAGTAGAAGTATTAGCAGTCACCGGAAATGTCAGGGTTCCGACGATGTTATTCAAGAAGTATAATCCAGTAAAATAAACTTAAGAAGAGAAAGGTAAAGGTTATGGAACAATTCAGAAGATTAGAATTTGTGAGAACACAAAGAATGGATGCACTTGCGCCATTACAAACGATTTTGAGCCATGTCGTTCAAGGTCTCTAACCATCGATTACTATCATCTCGCGGAACCCAACCAGGTAGTCTACACCTGTTATAATGGCTCAGTCAACTTGTCAGTGATTTTGACAGTAATCTAGAGGTTAAGCGTTCATGCGCTAGACCTAAAATTCCCCACGAGTTGGGTTCGTCGATGCGCAGTGCGATTGATGAATTATATATTGTAACGAAACGACCGTCTTTCGGTGATTACAGGTTTTATAATATTAGTCCAACATTGATCGATTCATGATTATTCCCATTGTGATTCTTCATTTATTTTTTCCTATTTCAGATGAATTAATCCGATCTAATTTGACACAAAGCAATGATAAATCAAATCCTTTAACTATTCATAGTAGAATTCGTTTAGTTCGTTCCACAGCAATTCGATTGATATTGACATATTTTGAGAAGAACGACCCAACTATTACAGCTGCTACTACTGTCATGAACGGTAATGACGATGACAGTCATCCAAGCAGTCAACGACAAGAACAACAACAACAACAGCATTCAATGATTCCTTCATTTATGGTTTATCATTGCTTGAATAATCAAAGCAATCATTCTGATATGAATGCCAATGTAGGCATTGGTTTTCATAAGAAAGTAAGTAGTTTGGTTAAGAGTTTTTGGTTTCCTCTTTCTTCAATGTATTATCGTCTGTGCTTAAAACTTAGCTGTGTATGTTGTGTTTACGAGTTGAGGATATCGTTATCGGACTTATTTTACGCTATCATGATGCTTTAGCGAAGCCTAATTTTTATTTTTTTTTGTGAAGTCGGTAGTGAGAAGTCAAATATCGATTCAGTTGGATAAGTTTATTTCATGTATTTCGTGTTTATTTTACGCAGATACACGTACGAGTTCAATGTTGCAGTCATTCAGTCAGTTGCAACGTAGAACTTTATACGTATGAACATAAAAGTTCAGGTTGCCATACCACCACATTAGCACAGAGACGCAATTGTCAAATCAAATCCCATAGTGATAGAGATAGTAGTAGAAGTATTTACTGGTAATGAAGAATATTAGGGTTCGAAGATATTATCCGAGAAGTATAATTCAGTGAGATAAGGTTAGAAAGACAAAGGTAGAAGTGTTGACGATTTCAGCAGATTAAGATTTGAGAGAACACAACGAGTGGATGCACTTGCGCCATTGCAAACAGTTTTAAGCCATTTCGTTCAAGGTCTCTAACCATTGATGACTTTTGTCTTGCGGACCCCAACCACGGATGCGAAACATGGCCGTTCAGAGTAGAGGACATTCGTAGTTTACTAGTATTCGATCATAGGTGTATCCGAAGCATTGCTCGTGTATCCTGGGACGACCGAGTAAGCAATGCTATCGTTAGGAAACGAGTTACTAGGTAAGGATGGCAGATCAATAGATGAAGTTGTGAAACTTCATCAGTTGAGGTGGTTGGGTCATGTGTTACGAACCATCGACTGCCTCTACGAGCTATGTTTTGCAGTGTAGGAGTAGGTTGGAAGAAAGTTAGGGGTGGCCAGTCCAAAACATGGCAGAAATCCATGAAGTCACTGACAAGTGGACTGAGTCATGTTGGTGGATGTAGGCTACCTGGTTGGGGTCCGCGAGATGATAGAAATCGATGGTTAGAGACCTTGAACGACATGGCTCCAAATCGTTTGCAATGGCGTAGGTGCATCCACTCTTTGTGTGCTTTTTAATTCTAACCTTCTGAATTCCTCATAACCTCTATCTTTCTCCTTCCAAATTCATCTCACTGAATTATACTTTTCAAACCAATCTTTGCTCCTTAATCTTCTCCCTTGCTGCTAATAATTTTACTATCGCTATCACTCTTGGATTTGAACTGATAGTGGCATCTCTGTGCTGACGTGGTATGGCAACCTGTACTGATGTACTTATGTACGAAGTTCTGCGTTGTATCTGTCTGTTTGTCTGACCCTAACCACGTAGCCTACATCTACCGACATAACTCACTCCATTTGTCAGTGATGTCATGGATTTGTGCCATGTTTTGGTTTGTCCTCCTCTGTCCCCTCCTCCACCCTCTTTCATCTCTCTTTTATTTCTACTAGTAACCCTTCTCACACTCCTTTATCACACTGTACCGCTAATATATATATATATGTATATTTTTCAATTTATCTAGTTTTTAATCGCTCTCACTCATCTTATACACAAATATCCTGTATTCATTCCGGTTCATGGTTTACCATTGGAAAAACATACAGATTGTGTAAGTTTTGTTTCATTTATGCAAATTGTATTTTTTTCTGATGTTGCTTAACTAAATAATGATCGGCATGCATAAAACTGTATTCCTTTTGGAATCAATCATGTTTTGTATTCTCGTCATATAGCTTGCACTATATAGTTTATGTAAGGAAGACAGAGATGTAATGTGCTCTTGGGTTTTCCTGTGACTTCGGGGATTCCAAATGAGGGCTTGTCTTGTGAGAGAGGCAGTTGGATGCCTTCTTCAATGTGTGTTGTATCCACCTCTAGCACTTCTTCCTCAACCAATGGGATCTGGTTTGTTCTTTCACACAGTAGTAGGTTGTTGTTGATGGTGGTGTCTGGCTAGCGAACCCGAAGTATTTTGTGTGGACAACTGTTAATGAAAACATGTATGGATGGATTTCGTGGATCTTTAAGTTTCTACTCCATGCAATGAATGAACTGTCTTTACATTTACTTCAGTTCCACCACCCACATATGTAAAGGTTTTAACATCTTGCAAAGCTTCTCCGTCAAGTATATTTTGGTTGTTGTATGTTGTGCTGTATCAAAGAATTTTACTTTTCCCTTTATGTTGAGACCTGCTGTTGCTGAGTATAATGCTACACTGGTTGTCTTCTCTTGTGTTTGTTGTTGCATGTGCGATAGAAGAGTCAGATCATCTGAACAGTCTATCTAGATCGTCCAGCTGCCCATTAACCCATACTTTATCCCCCCCTTCCCGAATGTTGACGTCTTGATAATCGAGTCGATCACAAGGAGAAACGGTGAGAGTAAGCAACCTAGACAGGCACCGCTATTCATTAACTCAAATGATTATGAGATACTACAAGTTGATGTTATACACATGAATTCCATTCAATTGATTGTTCCACAATGATCCGTAATGTTGCAATTTGGTCGGTACACGATACTTAAAAGTTGTAATCAGTAGTTAAGTGAAATAATCATCATTACTAACTGTTATTCAGTAGAAAGCAGAGAAAAAACGACCACAACATACAAACGCGAAATAACATAAACCGATGATTAACAAAATTATTATTTTTATTAGTGTTACGCTCACCAATTTATATGCCTGAATGCCATTATGAGTTCACCTTATGTCGGTAAACAACAGCAAAGACAAATGTTCCATTGACACGATAGGCTACTTTAATCCGAGTGTTTCAAGCTCCCGCTAACAATATCAAAAAGTCTTGATTTTGGCGTAGAAAGTGTATTTTACAGGCGCCCCAAAAATATGAGGTTTTGTACAGAAGAAGAAGAAGAAGAGGAGCAGAAAACTTTACAGACAATGCATATTTATGTTAACCAATAGGAAGTGGCATTTAAAAGTATTTGACCTTGATAGTTCAGAACAACCTTAAAATGTTGACCAATAGAATTATTAGATTCACAAAATCATTTCTTTAGGATATTATTTGATGAATATCCTAACAATTAGCTAAATTTTAATATTTTACACTTCATTAACTTCATGTGTATTTTTCTCTTTCTCCCCTTTTTTCATTGTAATAATCCCAGTTAAATGTAGCACTAACATTTTACAAATTAGGATTCATAATCACAGAACATCATAAACAGCATCAAATTGATGATGATGATGAAGTGCAAACTATTGAAGGAGAAGAAGAACAATCTGGTGAAAACAATGTTGTTTTGACGAAGATCGATAAAATACCAAAGCATTCCACAGCGTTGATGAAGAATACTGAAGTTGGTAGACGAGGCAATTGTGTAGTAGTAATCAGTTTAGATAATAATCATAAAACGCAAGATGACGATTGTCGTCTCATTGATGAAGACAACATCACTGATGATGATGATGCTGCTGACGATTGTATTATTACTGGGAAAATTGAGAAAAGCAAATAACATCACATGGTGTATCGAAATGATGTGTCGTACAGATTTTTTTTTTTTAAAAGAAACATTTGTTTATTTGGAGAAATGCATTTTACTCCTAATCTATTTGTACATTTCATAAGAAAGAAAATGAGAATAAAAAATGTTGTATAATCATCATGAGAAATATATGTTTTGTGTCAATTAATTTCTCACAGTATTACAATCATGGGAACGATTTAAATGATATGAGCCAGTGTGTATCATTCCTCCTTGATAGAGATAGTAAGCCATTTCACCGATGTTAGTTATACGACCAAACTGTTTTACTGGCTCCTTTAATCTTCGACAGTTTGCTACAACCAACTAGTGCCTAAAACTTGGAATACAAGCATGAACTATAAATGATAATAAACTTTAACCTCAAGCACGACCAAACTGTTTTACTGATTCCTTTAATCTTCGACAGTGTGCAACAACCAACTAGTGCCTAAAACTTAGAACACAAGCATGAACTATAAATGATAATAAACTTTAACCTCAAGCTATCTATCCAGTATTGCAATGTGCCAATATGCTCTCACATAATCTTGAATTGAACATGCCTAGATCCAATCTTTATACCCTGTTAACAACATTGATTAGGATTTTATTGCGGTCAAATATCTACAGCCTACAGGTTTCACAAATGTATAGTATTTCAACTCGTTTTTTAAACTTTTAACAGGGTTTTCACAGCGTTTTTTAAAATAACCAAAAAACTGAATGAACTTATCTGAATTCACTGAATCAACAAATGTTTTAGCAAAGAGAACTTCATTTTCTGTTATAGCCGATATTAAACTTATATTGGTTCCACGCGTTGATGGAACTAGGGCACTTGCCGGTTTTCCTCTTGTAGATCTTCCCAAGGTTCTTCTTAAGTACAAAAGAAGATTCATCTATAAATACTTTTATAAATGTATCTTCAATGTTCATAAAATTTTGAGCATAAATTTGGCGTTTGTTTTGACTGGGTTCGGAATTTATATTGACCGATGTATATAAGAAATCTTTTTCAAAGTAATCTGAAGTCTATAAATTATCCTTCTTATAGATTCAAGAGAATGACCTATAGAAAATATGTTTTCTATTTTTTCTCGAATTTCTACCATCGTTATTAACGGGTTTAATTCTATCAATTCTTCAACGAAATTGATAATATCACCGCATATCTCCTTATTTCATGGTTTTCCTGCTTTTTTCTTCTCAACTCGCGATTCCTTTTTATACAACCTTTTAATATTTGTAGCGGCCTGATAGTTTACATCTGTAAGAAATGCCGCATCCATGACGCTGTATCCATCTTCAATAACTTTTTTTATAAGGCTTTTTCTTTTTTCATTCGAAATCAAGTTGTTTTTTCTATTTATTTCTGGCATTCTAAGGATTACAAAAAATTTTAAAAAACGCTGTGAAAATTTTAAAAAATTTTTTGGTTATTTTAAAAAACCCTGTTAAAAGTTTGAAAAACGAGTTGAAATACTATAATAGAAATATAATGCAGTATAATGATATTTGACCAGATATTGGCGGAGGCGGTAGCGTAACGTTGCTCAATCTAAAAGGTGATTGATTTAACAACTGAACTGCGAAATTCGTTAATCGATAACTCACAAAAATTATGCGAAGTGAACTCTTGTTTCAACAATCCTTATATTACATATACTGTCATCAGTTATTTAAGCCTGTTACCGCCAATGCAGCAGCATAGGCCGTTGATTAGCATTCTCCAACCCACCCTGTCCTCCTCCTTTCTTTCTAGTTCTGTCTAATTGTTGTTCATTCTCACGTCCGTCAGCATTTCTAAACGTAATGCGTGCTTTGGGCTTCCTTTTTTCATTCGCCGAACCTAAACATGGCATGAATCCATGAAGTCGCTGACAACTGGACTGAGTCAGGTTGGTAAGTGTAGGCTACCTGGTTGGGGTCGGCAAGACAGTAGTAACCGATAGTTAGAGGCCTTCAATGACATGCCTCAAAAGCGTTTGCATTGGTACAGTTGCATCCACTTATTGTGTTCTCTCAAATCCTGATCTTCTGAATTCCTCATAACCTTTATCTTTCCCTCTTTAAGTTTGTTTCACTAAATCATACTCTTCGAATCATATCTTTGAACCCTAATTTCCCCGATTACTGCTAATAATTCTATTACTATGGGATTAGAATTGACAATTGTGTCTGTGTGCTAATGTGGTATGGTAACTTGAACTGATATACGTACTTACGAAGCTGTACCACCCAGCTGTCTGACTGACTGGCCATTTTTCCTTTGGCCTTGAGGACTTCAAGCGAGTGTTTGTCTTGTGTCCTATCCACGTCCAGCGCTTATTCCTTCGCTGTAATGAGCGTAAATGTTCAGTGATACAGTTTTTTCCTAATCAATCTTACATTATCGCAATGGTGGTTGCTTAAATTCTTTCTGAGCGCCTACGTTGCTTACCAGTTACATCATTATTTCGCGAAGATTTTCAGTAGGCTATAAAGATTCATGATAAGAAACGTTTGTTTGTTGAAAAAAAGTGTATTGCAATCAATGAGATTTTATTCAGAAGACAATATTGGTCTTGAAATAAAAATCATTTTTTTCATTAGTAGCGTTTACAAAATATTGAAAAAAAAACAAAGCACGATATACATCATTATTTATCAGGAAATACATTCGTTTAAAAGTACAAAAAGCATTTTTATTTGCATACTACTACTTTACTACTACTACACATAATTATCAGTGGTGTTGTGACACGCGGGTGGGGGAGTTCAAAGAAACACTTCCAAATCGAAATCTAACGCTGAACAAGGCATTGTTAATTCAAAATTTCTTATCACTTCAGGATGTAAAATACCTAGTCGGCCAATAGTTTTATTACCAGGCTCCAAGATAATATCCGCACAACGACCATCAAAATAGGTTGGATCTATGAAAATAAAATTAGATAATTATTACAAATAATTAGAGGGATATGTAAATCGGTTCAGTGTATTGACTTGTTAGTGGGACATAGATGGATTTAAAGCATGATTACGTCACTACGCGCTGATTGGCTAATTTCCTATCCAATCAGCGCCTGATCGAAGCTTGGAGAACAGGATAGAAAATTCTCGTATTATTAGCTGCATGCTGATTGGTCGAATCCAGTCCAGTCGATCACGTGAATTTTCTTCCAGAAGCTTTCTCATCTAAAGGCTATAAATAGACTCGCATTATATTTATCTTTGCCTTCTTCGCCTACAAGCCGTCTTAGCCTTCGAGCCTTCTTGCTTTCTTCGCCTTGGCTTTCGCCATCACCTCCGGCTTCTTTTCCTTGCTATTTTGGAATACAATCCTTCCTGTTCAACCGTGTTTTGATTTGTGTTACTTTTCCAGTGTTTTGTGTCAAGAATACTAAGCAATAAGATTTAGCCTAGAGAATATCTTAAGCAAACCGTTACAACATGACTGAAAATTGTTTGACTACTTTCAATCAGTTATAACGAAGAACTTCGTACATAAGTACATCAGTTCAGGTTGTCATACCATATTAGCACACAGAGACGCAACTGTCAGTTGAAATCCCATACTGGTAAAGATAGTAGAAGTATTAGCAGTAATGGAGAAGATTAGAAATTCGTATAACACAAAGAGTGGATGCACCTGCTCCATTTCGGGCCATGATGTCATTCAAGGTCTCTAACCATTGGTGACTGTTGTCTCACCGACGCCGACCAAGTAGTCTACATCTATCAACATGACTTAGTCCAGTTGTCAGTGATTTCATGGATTTGTGTCATGTTTTGGTTTGGTCGCCCCTAGTTTTCGCCCAAACTACTCCGACACTACAAACACATCGCTCGTCTGTTAATCACCTTTCAAGGAGTACATAATAACATTGTGTTTAAAGTATCACTTAACAATTATTTATAACTGGTATGTAATGTAATTCATTTATTAAACATTGGTTTGCTTGCATGGTGAAGGTGTTCAACGAAAGTGAACGGACGGAAAGCCGATGTCCGGCGCCTAAACTAGATTGGTGACTACCTACCCAGGATTCACTTGTGAGAAGCTGTATGTATAACCATGATTGTTCTAGATCGTTAGTGCACATGTGCTCCATGGATCCCTAGGGAAAAATTGGCGTATGAACACCTATTGTTTGGTTACTGGCTACGATGGGACTGCATCTTCTCCACTGCGCTGGGGAGTCGTTTAGCTACTTGTTACATTACTCTATGGTCATTATCAATATAGATTGTCACTTGGTCCTTGATTTTACTAACATGTTTGTAACGATTAGTTTCAACTGATTTACTATTTATTCATTAAATAACAATGATATTAAAAGGAAAAGTAACAAAAACGGATAAGAACTACGGCGAGCCTGATTCAAGATCGTCAAAGACAAGCCTTCACCTAGGGCAAGAGCATTCATCATAATGCTGGCCTTGGCACCAAGTAAGAGAAGCTTAATGAGAAGTCGTGACCGGTGGTCGTTCAACTCTGTTCGGGTGTGAAGTAGTGCTCAGCGAATATAGTGGATGAGGTTGCGCAAAAACCATGGATTGATCGAAGTTAGACATTAATACCGTTAGGTGCCAGCTGAGTAGTCCAGAGGTTAGGCGTTCGCGCGCTAGACCGTAGGTCCTGGTTTCGAATCCTGGTTGCGCATTGCTGATGAATCCCATACCAGACAGGATGAAACGGCCATCTTTTAGTGCTTTCAGGTTTCTTACAGTGGACTAACATTGATCGATTCATGATATCAATAAAGTAACTCAACAATATCCCCACAACGTCATTTTCTTACCTGAAGTAGCATTCAGTTTATAGGTGAAATTCGATTGAGATTTTTCAAGTGTGTTTTTTTTCGATAAAATTGATTCAATTTGTAATAATTGCATTATTCTATCTAATAAACCATGAATAATTTCAAAACCGGAATTTTTATTATAATAAATTGCACAAATACGTCGTTGATTACTGGCGCCAACATCTGAAGACGAAACGGACGGAAGGAGATGATGATGAACAAAAAACAAACTGATATAGACAGATGTTTTTTTTTAAAAAATTTAAACTGATATAGTTTGCAATAAAATAATAGCAACGAGTATATATTGAGAGAATCCAACTGTGGCTACTCTATCTACTTTGACGTGTCACTACCATATGAAGTTCTGCCTAGTTTCTAAGGTAGGGAGTTCATTCTTCTAGTGACTTGATGAGAAAGACGATAGTCAGATGATGACTACTAATTAGTCATTGTTTACTACTTTATTGTTAATTCTAGCACTTTTTTGTTGTAAGCATCATGAAATTCATTTTAATATTCTAGTTCTCGGGTTTACACCGTCGCACTGATTTCCTGACCGTAGTTTTTACCTTGACGTGGTGGTTGGGCTTGCCTATCGTGATAACCCAACCGAACTATATTGGCTACAACATATGTTTCTGAAGGTTCTACCATGCCAGGCAGGTCGATTGGAGAACGATGACATTAAAAACAGCTACTCAATGTCTGAGGGCGAAGTCTTACTGCTGACTGTAGAAGGGTGTGATAGCAGTAAGGTGTTTCCCTCGGACAACCAGCATCTGCAGCGATGCTGTCCTTTCACAAGGAAGGAAGGGGTTAGAAGAGGTCGACGCTAAAAATGTTACACCTCATGGATTTCGGTCTCCACTGGTAAGGCCACTTGAACAGTAGAGCAAACACTTGAAAAGCACTCCTATAAAAAGGCCGTGCATGACCAGCTTCAAGCAGTTATTTATCCCTTGGGCTCTGCGGTCACACTCTCAGGTTTCTAATCTACCTTTTTTTTCTAGATAATTAATAAACAGCTAAGCTCCAGTCTTTTGAAATTTGCTAAAGCCGTTGCGATCAGGCGCCTAAAGCTTGATTTATGAGATAGAATCTTATCTTTGATCCCTTGATTTTTATATTACCAATAATACTGCTACTAATTTTACTATTTTGAGATTACGCCTGACAATTTCATCTCTCTGTGCTAATGTGGTATGAAAACTTGAACTGAATTATGTACATAACAAGTTCTGCGTTGCTGCTGGCTGACTGATTAATTTTAAAACAGAATAGATACCAACCGAGGTTTTGGATATATCATGTAACATATTACCTACTGATTCAAACACATAAATATTCGCACAGACAGAAATCTAAATATATAGGCGACACACAAATTATTGAATGTGTGAATAGGTTTCGGTGCCCGAACCGAAGATCTAAAGGTCTAACCCTACACGACAATGAAGTAATATTAGAAGATACAGTCCCGAAGTATTCAGTGACTAACAATAGGCCAAATGTTGCCTCAAATTTTTGAAGCCCACGTGCACCGTTTCTTCCGTAATGATGATTTTGCCAATTCCACTGTTGAAAGCCACATGGTTAAAAAGCACCGAACGTTGGCTTTTTTGTCCTCTTAATAAACTCAATTTCGTACAAGAAGTACTATCCACTATTGAGATATGACATTTGTGAAAATTTAAAAGTTTACATTATTATTTAATTAAGGATTATAATTGACAGAATAATGTAAGGAGTTCGGGTAGATTGTTTCATTTTACAGTTTATCTTATGAACGGATATCACGCCTACGCCAATTGAGCTTTCTGTATCCGCGCTGAGATTTCATCAGTCACCAGGCTATCAGCACTGATGAGACTTCCAAGATAAGTGAAGTGATCAACACGCTCGACTACTTCACTGATTTACACTGTCTATGATCACTACGATATGACATAAAGCAACTGCGTCATGAGGCAATCCCTAAATTGGAATCCTCAACATCAAGGGAAACCAGTGAAGACCAAAGAACACATTGCGCTGAAATGTGAGGGCAGATATGAAAATATGAATAGCGATTGGGTGGAACGGGAAAGAAAGGACAGAGTTGGAGAATGCTGGTCGTCGGCAGCCTATGCTCTATTAGGGGTAACATGTGTAAGTATATATAAATATATATATATATATATATTTGCTTACCTTTAGATGGATTTTTTACTACAATATCTTGAACTTCAAATAATTTCAAAGGTAATGGTAAACTTCTATTACTGGCCAGTGTATTCAATAATCCTGGTAATAAACTAGTTCTAACAACCTGAAAATAACAGAACGGAAAATTGTGCAAACATTAAGAATACACAGTCGATAACATGAACAATGAGGTGTTGTGGAAAGTAATCAAATGGGAAAACTGATATTAAAAGGAAAGATCAATAAGCGTTGGATATCTCCTTCGTTCCTCAACAAGGGGGGCGGCTCCTTACTAATGCACACCTATCACCCAAGACAGGAGGACAAAGTCCGGAACAAAACATGTCGTAGTCAGTAATTATACTTTTGGATGACTAGAGAGTCAGAATACGACAATGAACTTTTCCTAACTGTAATCAAGTTGTAAGTTTTATTGCTTTTGTTTGTTTTAACACGTCGATTATGTCTATTGATCGTATAATCTATTCAGGCGCGTATATAGAAAATTTACAACTACTTATCACCTCACATAGTATAAAAAAGTACAATCCAAGATAACATGGCGGCCGGCAGTATGTATTATTGAAGGAAACTTAATGCAATATTCCATACTGAGAATTCCATATTTTACTAAACATATATTATTGAACAATGATTGTGTATGTGTGCTGGGTTACTACTCTGTCCGGTTGGTCAAACCAAAACAGGCAGCTATTCCTCGAGCCCTTTACCTATAGGTCTGATATACAACACGAAGAGAAACAATTCAATAATATTGGCGACCAACAGTATGTTCATGCACCCATTTGTTCCCAAAGCATCCTGGAACCTGGGAGCATCGTCGGTTTCAAATGAGAGTTTTCCGACTCCGCTAGATGGATCCACAAAACCTACCAACTCAGGTTAAGCGTCCGGAATTCGCTATTCAACCTCTTAATATTGTAAAGAACACTTTCGCTACGAGAAGGTAGTGAGTGAGTAGAGTGTCCGTGATAACGGGATAGGCAGGGTGAAGTCTCCTCATTTTCGACCCCACCAAAGTATCTGGGTGACTTTGTGTTAGGATATCCATCTAATATTCTAAGAGAATTATTGGTCAATTCCAATGTTGTTTCATTATCGGTCATCCGGACTGTCGATATCATTTCAAATGTTCTTTCCTATTGGTCATCCTAAACTGTCAATGTCACACAGACTTCGATACTCTTTCCTATTCGACCTAAATGTATAAATATGCATTATCTGTAAAGCATATGATTCCTTCCTTCCTTTATCTCTACTGTACTTGACCCCATAAACAACTTTCATCTAACTGTGTTGTGTTCAGATACATTGGAGATTTGGGAACAGTATTTAGGGTCGTATTAGAATATCTGAATTCGGAAGTTGATAGGATTTGAATAGCTACTTAGCGGCCTTATAACAATTTGATTGTGTTCTTTGAGTTCGACAGTTTAATTAGCCTAACATTACATCATATTTTTCAAAAATTTTATTCAAAAACTTACTTGAAAATCAAATGTTTTCGGATTAGATATGTGTACCGCTGGAATATCATCTAATTTATGTCTTAGTTTAGTACTGACATCTTCTCTGGAACACTAAACATATAACGAAATAAGAAAGTAAAAAAAAACACCAGAAAAAGTTAAAACATATAGTATAGTATTGAGTTATGATCAATAAACACATGTTTAGTCACAGAGTGTGACAGTTGAAACATTTGATAATACAATATTCATAGTCAGTCAGTTACAACGTAGAACTTCGCGCATGCGTGCATGCATGCATCAGTTCCAGTTGTCAGACCACATTAGCACACTGAGAGATCGAATTGTCAATTCAAATCCCATAATTGTAGTAGAGGTAGTAGAAGTAATAGCAGTAATCCGAGAGATTAGGGTTCGAAGATATTATTCAAGAAGTATGATTCAGCGGATAAAAATTTGAGAACAGAAAGATGAGGGTCATGAGGAATTCAGAAGGTTAGCATTTCAGAGGGAACACAAAGAATGAATGCAGCTGCGCACATTGCAAACGATTTTGAACCATATCATTCAAGGTCTCTCGTGGACAATAACCAAGTAGTCTATACCGATTAGCATGATTTAATCCAATTGCCATTAACTTTATGGATTTATTCCATGTTTTTGGTTTGGCTGCTCCCTAATTTTCCCATAGCCTACTCCTACACCAGACAACATCACTCACCGTGGTCGGTGGTGGTTAGGCATACATACACAACACATATCCTAATCATCTCAGTCAGTCAACTACAACGCAAAACTTCGTACGTACATACATCAGTTCATAGAAAAGGAGTTGTCCATACAAATCCCATAGTGGTAGAGAGATAGTAGAAGTATTAACGTTGATGGGGAAGATTAGGATTTGAAGATGCGATTCAACAAGTATAACCCAGTGAAATAAATTTAAGAAGACAGACAGATACAACGCAGAACTTCGTACGAAAGTACATCAGTTCAGGTTGCTATACCACATCAGCACAGAGACGCAAATGTCAGTTCAAATCCAAGAGTGATAGTGATAGTAGAAGTATTAGCAGTAATGGAGAAGATTAGGGAGCGAATTTATGATTCGAAAAGTATAATTCAGTAAGATAAATTTATAAAGAGAAAGAGATAATGAGGAATTCAGAAGGTTAGAATTAGGAAGAATACAACGTAGAACTTCGTACATACTTACATTAGTTCATAGTGCTATACCAGATTAGCACAGACAAATGGAATTGTTAAGCAAATCTCATAGTAACAGAGGTAATAGAAGCATAAACAGTAATCGGGAAGATTAGGGTTCGAAGATATGATTCGAGAAGTATAATTCAGAGAAATAAATTTGGATAAAAGTGACGGGGAATTTAGATTAGAATTAGGTAGAAGACAAAGAATGGATAAACTAACGCGACTGCAAACAATTTTGAGCCATGTCGTTCAAGGTTTCTAACCATCGGTCAATGTCATCTTGCAAGTCAGCAACAAAACAGAACTTCGTACATACGTACGTACATTAGTTCAAGTTGCCATACCACATTTGCACACAGAGATGCAATTGTCACTTCAAATCCCATAGTAGTATAGGTAGTAGTAGTAGTAGTAGAAGTGTCAGCAGTAATCGGTAATTTTACGGGTTCGACGATATTATTCAAGAAGTAGAATCTAGTGAAAGAAACTCAAAAAGAAAATGATAAAGGTGATGAGCAATTCAGAAGGTTAGGATTTTAGAGAGAACACAAAGAATGAATGCATCTGCGCCATTGCAAACGAATTTATGACATATCATTCAAAAAGTCTCCAACCATCAGTTACTATTGTCTCGAAAACCCACCAATCAACGTAAGTATCTCAGCTGATGTAGATTCAATGAGTGCTTCGTCAAATTGACTTGCTACCAATTATATTGTTTAGCTGAATTAAAAAACCAGTACATTTCATAAAATTGATTTGCTATCTTCTCTTTATGTTTAGTCATAATTCTTTTAAGAAACCCAAATAACAATTTCGAAACATTTAAACTTACTAATGAGAAACTTAACACTTCAGTAAATCCCATTTGAGCTATTTCAGCACGAATCAAATCGGTTAAACGACTGATTGGTTGATTACCAGCTACACAGTAAGTTTGTGGTAATGATTCCGGTATATTATCATAACCGAATGCAATAGCAACATCTTCACCGATATCACATGCATGTAAAATATCATGTCTTGTTGGTGGTATACGTACAGAGATAAGACCGGTTACATTTTGACCTGTTGAAGAAAAAAAACAGACAGACAGAGAGAAATGTAGCAAACAGAAACAATATTTCGGAGTATTGATGTGTATATTTTGTCTTTTTTTAAGGGAAAAAAGAAGTATTCATAACAGATAGGTGGAATCGTCATTAATAATAAGGGATAATAGTAGCTTTTTGAATGATATGGCTTGAAATCGTTTGCTATTGGGGAACTGTCAACTATACAACTATTTTTTGTCTTTTAATCTTCTGAATACTTCATGACTTTTGAAATAGAAATTCACTGGGTTATACTTTTCGGATGATATTTTCGAAGACTAATATTCTCCATTACGACTAATACATCTACTATTATGAGATTTGAAGTGACAATTCGATGTTTCTCTGTGTGCCAATGTAATGTAATGGCATCTTGAACTAATGTACGTACGTACGAAGTTCTATGTTGTAGCTGACTTTATGAAGAAAGTTTGCAATTCCATGGTCGATGGGCTTGTGAAGAGCAGACTAGAGAAAACCAGGCTGGTTTCAGACCTGGACGTGGTTGTATAGACCACATCTTCACACTACGACAGGTCCTGGAACACAGACACACATTTAGGCGTCCTACAATAGTTGTTTTCCTGGACCTAAAAGCGGCATTTGACTCTGTTGATCGTAAGGTTCTGTGGCAGTGTCTGTCATTGAAAGGTGTACCAAAGAAGTACATTAACCTTACACAAGCGCTCCACTCGAACACCACTGGTCGAGTTAGAGCTTATGGCGAACTGTCAACGGAATTCTTTACTTCAAGTGGTGTCCGTCAGGGATGTCCACTTTCTCCATTCTTGTTTAATTTCATCATAGACATGGTCCTACAAATAACCTTATCCTCGTCTGAATTTTCAGGAGTAGACCTATTACCAGGAGGCTCGTTTATGGACTTAGAATATGCCGATGACATAGTCCTACTTGGTGAAGACGCTGACAAAATGCAGAGTCTTCTGACTACCCTAAGCAACAATGCAAGCATGTTCCGGATGCGGTTTTCCCCCTCGAACGTGTAGACCGCTTCACTTATCTTGGGAGTCTCATCAGTGTTGATGGCCTGGTGACTGACGAAATCTCTGCACGGATACAGAAAGCTCGATTGGCTTTTGCCAACCTGCGTCACTTATGGCATAGGCGAGGTGTTCGTTTGCTTACCAAAAGACGAGTGTACTGTGCAGCAGTTCGTTCCGTCCTACCATATGGATGCGAAACATGGCCGGTGATAGTAGAGGACATTCGTCGATCATAGGTGTCTCCGAAGCATTGCTCGAGTATTGTGGGACAACCGAGTGAGCGATGCTGCCATTAGGAAACAAGTACTAGGTAGAGATGGCAAATCAATTGATGAAGTAGTGAAACTTCGTCAGTTGAGGTGGATGGGACATGTGTTACGTATGCCTAACCACCGACTGCCTCGATGAGCTATGTTTTGCGGTGTTGGAGCAGGTTGGAAGAAAGCTAGTGGCGACCAAACCAAAACATAGGTCATCTGAGACTACGTCCAGGCGAATATCCCTATCGTACAAGCGACTATATATTAAACTTCAATCTATCCGTCCACAATTCCATTTTCACACTAGATGCTATGTTTATGTTTAAACAAACTCCAAGAAATCATTGGAGAATTTCTGGATACGCGGCAGATTAATAATATTGATTTTGCGTATTGGATCAACGAGACCAAATGAATGACAACACTGAAACACAATAATATAATTTTGTTGTTGTCAAATCTTGAACGTTTTTTTTTTAAAAAAAGAACTTTTATGACCTTAAAGCTCTTCGATAGACTTATCTGGTTTGATATAGGGAGTTTCCATCAATCTAACCCAATTGAGTTGTCAAGATAAACAAATTCAATCATTGGGTTAAGATTGAAACTACAACAAGACATTGAATGGTTTTCAAAACTTTAAAAAACCAACAGAGGGATTATTTATACCATGTAACTAGTCAATTTATTCAAACATTTACGAGGACAAAAATATTTATGCGACATACAAATGATTGAATTTGTGAGTAGGCTGGTATACTGTTTGGTTGCCCAAAAAGAAGCAGATGCTGTCCTTCTGTTATAATGCTGCTAAGTATAGCTATTCAGTCCGAGCGGCGTCCAATTCAAATATCCCGATACGACCTAAAATGCTATTTCCAAATCTCCTATATATCAGAACACAACACCGTTGGATGGAGTTGTTTATTGGGTCGAGAACAGAAGACAGGTAGGCAGGAAGAAACGGAATCGAAATCGGAATCATGGGGTCTTGTAGATAGTGCATATTTATAAATTAAGGTCGACTAGGAAAGAGCATCAAAGTCTGTGACATTGACAGTCCGGATGACCAATAAGAGACAACACTGAAGTATTTGACTTTGACAGTTAAAACGATCATAATTTTGACCAATAGGATTATACTTCTAAAAATAGTACTCTTAGGATATTTGGTGAATATCCTAACAGCTTCTGAGGGATTTACTCTGCGAACTATTGACATAGATGTCTAATCCACAAAACAGTGAGGCAACGTACGAAGATTTAGTCCCAAGGTAGCTAGCTAGCTGCCGGTGACCAACAATAGATTCATATGCTACTGGTTGCATCAGGATAGTGGAGCCTACGTGTATCATTTTGTTATGAATTGAGGGTTTTTCAACTCTGTCGGTTCAAGCCCATGCGGGACATTTGCAATAACATAAAACGCAATCCAGAACATAAAATGTTAGAGAGAAAGAGAATTACCTGTTATTAATAAATCTGACACTGAATCTTTACACTGATTGGAAGATACACTTGTACATGTGAAACCCATACGATTTAATAAATTGATTACTTCTGATTCAGAAAAACTGGTACCTAATTGACGATTGATGTAATCAATACTGACAACTTCATCACGATAATCTAGACGCTAAAAGAAAAGTAAGTAAGCTAAACATTAGAACGACATTGCCAGGAAAGTCTTATTCACTACTTTCTCATGGCATTGGGAAGGGGTTGTTTACGAAATTGAGAGAATGAAAAGCGAATGCCTGGCGCTTAAACCAGATTTTTGGGTACGGAGGATCTTAACAGGGAAGTTAGAAGACATTTTAGTGACTTGAGATCTGACTACAATTTAGACGAATGACAGAGTATGCGATGAGACAAATCTTCCCGTCGATTTCCGTATATCATAATGAGGCGAAACCTGTTTGTGAGACGGTAGTAATAAGAAGTGGATGAATTCATTTCATGCTATCGTCAATCCAGACAGACATGAGAGCACAAAGCGCAGAGGCAAAGCGAATTGAAGAAGGCGAGTGAGCCAACCCATTGCGATGAACAATGACTAAGTATATGTAGTCAGGCAAAAAGTAAGTATGCACATACACACTTAAGGAAGAACAACCAAGATATAATTGAATAATGAAGAAAACCGAAGATTGGATGAATTAATTTATCCAAAGTCTGGGACACGGCCTTCTGGGCTCAATATTTATGTACGCACACACACTAAAATCATCATTCCAAACCGATAGATTTATATTGGCTCCAAGATGTTGATGGAACAAATGTTATATGAACCTGTTCTAGGTCATCAACAATCATTCGACTGTAGTTTCTGATGTTGTTTCATTCTATGCCTTGTCAATTAGACTTCTTAATTAAAGATTCGGCGAGTGGCTCTCTGAAATAATCATCTGCTTCAGTTTGAGCACCCCCGACAGTAAGTATAAAGATATTTGTTTCCATCAAAATAACAACCAATCCATTTAGCTGACAGATCTGTCTTTAATCAACAATTTATATTTCATGCTTTGTTCAATAACACGTCACATCACTTCCCCATCACTTGAGAAGATAAAAATGATATGCTCGTCAATTGATATGCTTGAATGCTATTACGAGTTCACCTTACTCAGTAAACGGGACAAAGCAATGACCCAGTGATACAATAGGCTATTCTAATCCGTTTGTCCCCGGCCCGGTTAACTAATATCAAGAAGTCTTGATAAGGCCGTAGAAAGTGTATTCTACAAACACCCAGAAAATACGAGGTTGACAAGCACACAAATCGAGCTTATTTATACATGATAGAAACACCCTAGGGAGAGCCAAAAAAATAGCGTACTAAAATAATATATCGACCAATGACAGTCAAGGATTTTCCGAGTGGAAAATGTAGGGTCAACTAAGGTCAACTAAGCGACTTATGCACAGAAACATAAAAAATCCAGAACTAGGACCCTTTCCAAGTGAGTTTTGGGGATCTAACGTCTCCCAACAGAAGACGACGCTCATAGTACCCTTTTCCTCTTTTAAATTTATTTTACTAAGATTGTACTTCTCAAATCATATTTTCGTGCCCTAATCTTTTCGAACACCGCTAATACTACTACAACCTCTACAGGTATAGGATTTGAATTGGCGATTCGATCTCTGTGTGCTACTTTAAACTAGTGTATGTACGTAAATAGTTTTATGTTGTAACTGACTGACTTACAATGCCTACTTGTATTTTACGCCGATGATGATCATGATGAGCACAGCATGAAACGTGCAGATATTTATAAAAGTATGAAAGTATCACTGAGAATCAAAGTCTCTAATCATCGGTTACTCTGATTTTGCGAAACCACCAACCTGGTAGTCAACACCGACTAACACATAGCTCAAACAAATGAACCACTTTTTCTCAACCAATTTTAAATGCACTATTTGTTAGGATATTCATCAAATATCCTTAAGTTTAATTCTATTGGTTAATATTTACGATCGTCCTAAACTATTAAGTTCACATACTTTTAAATGTTGTTTCCTCTTGGGGTTAATATTCACGGTCAACCTAACTGTATAAATATGCATTGTCTGTAAAGTTTCATTCGCCTCTTCTTCTTCTTCCGTACAAAACCTCACATTTTCTGGATGTTTGTAGTAGAATACACTTTCTACGCCAAAATCAAGACTTTTTGATACCGTTAGTGAGAGGGGGAGTTAGGGACGCTCGGAGTAGAAGAGAGTAGCCTATCGTGTCAAGAGGATCAATTGACTTAGATCTTGTTTACCGACAAGAGGTGAACTCGTAATAGCATTCAAGCATATGAACTGGCGACGAGCATAACACACAATTCCATTTAAAAATTCTAACAAATCACTCACTGGATAGAAGTAACGACTACCATCATGTTGAATAATTTCGACAGATTCAGCGCTAAAAACAAACAAACAAAATGACAAGAAACATAATAGTTTAACATAGTTTTTCTATAGAAAACTTTCTGCTGTTTGTTGAATACTACTACATTGAATAGGTTTATGTAATAGCTTAGATTTTATAGAAAAAGTGACCAAAGAAAAAGCAGACACTCTTCTCTCTGGTAGCAACTGCTACGGACGCTTTACTACATACTACTTATCTGCCAGTAACCTTTGAGTAGCATCCACCAGCATACACGGACTAATAAATTGGATGTACGCTGAAATAACGCATGTCCTAGCTGAAAAAGTTAACCTTTCTTGTTTTCGGAGTGTTGCCCCGACCGTAGCTGCTACCTTGCCTGTCATGATGACCCAACCGAGCTATATTGGGTGAAATATATGTTTCTGTAGGTTCTGCCATGCCAGACAGGTCGACTGGACAACGATAAGACTAAAACGAAGCGACTCAAGGTCTGAGGGCGAAGTAGTACTTCTGACTGCGATGGAGAGGTGTGAAAGCAGTAAGGCGTTTCCCTCGGACAACCAGCATCTGCAGCGATGCTGCCTTCTCACAAGGAAGGAAGGGTTAGAAAATGTCGGCCCTAAAAATGTCACACCTCACCCTACCTTACGGATTTCCGTCTCCGGTGGTAAGGCCACTTGAAGAGAGAAGCCACCACGTCAAAAATATCGCATAAAAATGCCACGTGCGATCGGTCTCAAACAGCTGGAATTCGGGTTCTGCAGTCACGCTATAAGGCCTCTAGGACCAACGATAATTTAACATTCTTTTGAGGTTCCTCAAGAAATATCCTTCCAGAGTGTGGGCAGCCGGTAAACGACACCCACCCTCATACCCGTAACAAAACACGACACTGACTGACTTCAAAGTGTTGAAATGGCTGATTTAACTGTAAAGTTTTATTCTCTTCGCCTTTGAGCTACAACCACCAATCATCTCTCTATCATAACCCTACTTACTAGTTAATAGAGACATTAAACAATGACAATGAATGAAAAAAAGTAGAGAAAAGAATGATTTAATTTATTGAAAATCATAAAAAAAAACGTCATCAAGACTTACGTGAATGGTTCTTTACAATACTCAGAGAACATTGTGATCAGTGTGTCAAGAACAACAATAGCTTTGTGTAAGTCAGTACCAGTTGCTTCAATGAAAATATTTCGTGTTTTTGTGGTAATTCGAGAATGATCACCTGAATCGATACAAACCCAATATACAAGTAAGTCATTTATGGAATAATGACAAAAAAGGAGGCGATGTAATTTATTCACAGGGAGAGAAAATAACCAAACATTTAATTAGAAAAAATACAAGCACAGTCTACTGAAACCAACGTAGTGCTATCAAAAACCTCTATATTTAACAGTACGACTTCACCGTGAAACCTTAATTTGCTGTTTTTAGTCTTATCGATCTTCAATCAACGTGCCTGGTATGGTAGAATCTAAAGAACTATATGTTCCAGCCACCACGTTAAAGTGGCAGCTACGGTCATGTTCAGAAAACATGAAGAAAGTTTTAAAGTGTAATCTATGTAGCTACTACCTTGATGTAGTGGTCAGGTTCACCTATTGTGATGACCAAACTAGGCTATAGTGGTTGGAATATATGTTTCTTTAGATCTAACCATACCAATTCAGTCAGAGTCAGTCAGATGCAACGTAGAACTTTGTACGTAAGTACATCAGTTCATGTTGCCATACCACATCAGCACAGAGAAGTAATCGTCAATTCAAATCCAATAGTAGAAGAGGTAGTAAGGGAATTAGAAATAATCGGAGAGGTTAGGATTAGAAGATACTATTCAAGAAGTATGACAGTGAGATAAGTTTAGAGAGTTGAAACTAGAGGGGTTGAAGAATACAGAAGACTAGCATTTGAGAGAACACAAAGAATAAATGCACCGGCGCCATTGCGAACGATTTTGAGCCATGTCATTCAAGGTCTCTAGCCATCGATTATTATCATCTCGCGGACCCCAACCAGGTAGTCGACAACTACCGACATGGCTAAGTCCACTCGTCAATGACTTCATGGATTGCTGCCATGTTTTGGTTTGGCCGCCCCTAACAACCATACCAATTAAGCCGATTGGAGAACGATGAAACTAAAAGCAGCAACTTACGGTCTGATGGCGAAGTTATACTGCTGACTGGAGAAATGAACGATAGAGGAGAATATTGTCTAAGCCTGAGGACAATGATACTTAGAGTAAATGAAACTAGTGTAGTAAAAAAAATTTCCTGATGATCACAAAGAATGAACAGTAAGGTAGGTAGTGAAAAAATGATCGTAATAACATGTTAAGCAATATAACTTATTCTAATTACTATGTATTAAGTTTTTTTTAAACACAGAACGGTTTTTCATAGAATTATGGCTGAATACTTTAATAAATATCTGCAGTTACAATTTTTTTTAAACAAACTCATTCATTGTGTGTTGGCTACAGTAGAAGCACATTTTAATTGGGGAAGGATAATTATACTATCGGTAGAGAGGTTTGAATGTGAGATATGGTGACAGAAAGTTTTAAACACGACTACGATACACAAAAAAATGTTATTCTCCCAGCCTCAGTCAGTCAGCTACAACGCAGAACTTGATATGTACGTACGTCAGTTCAAGTTGCCATACCATGTCAATACACAGAGGTAGTATTGTCAATTCAACTACCATAGTAGTAGAAGTATGAGTGGTAATAGAAAAGATCATGGTTCGAATATACAATTCAAGAAGTACAATCCAGTGAAATAAATTTAAAAAACTGTCATGAGGAATTCAAAAAGTAAGAATTTGAGAGAATGGATGCATCTGAGGCACTGGAAACGATTTTGAGCCATTCAAAGTCTCTGACAATTCGTCACGATTGTCTCACCAACCCAAACCAGGTAATCTATACCTACTAGCATAGCTCAGTTCAGTTGTCAATGACTTTATGGATTTGTGCCATGATTTGGTTTAACCACCCTTGTAGCTTTCTTTCAACTTATCCCTAGATCAGACAGCATCGCTTGTCGAGGCAGTCAGTAGTTAGACATACTTCACACATGATTGTCCAAACATGAACATAACTTACCATTTATTATAGGAGGCATTGATAGGACAACATTGGAACTGTCAAAAATAATTGGATATTTAGGTTTATCTTGAATTAATGGAAGATATTGTTTTAAATGTGAATCATTCTGGAAAAAAAAAAGAAAATTTTAAATAAAAATATACGACTAAGGTAACTTAAATCATTCAGATTGAATTGAACGTTCAGAAGACTAACTGATATACTGTACTGTTTAGGCTAAAATTGAATTGTTTGCAGTTGAGGGGGTTCAATTCATCTGCATGAACGTTGTAAAGGGAAAGTGTCCGTTAATGTCTCAAACCAATGTCGTAAATTAACCATTTATTCGCTTTGTACACCTATTCCTAAAGTTGATAAATAAAGCGCGATGCGGAAGTCACTTAGATGACATTCATAAAACACGAACAATTCACCAATGTTAGTGTTTCAAAACGACGGAACCAACTGAACAGAAACTTGGAGAACCACGAAAGTCATCATCTAAAAGATACCGAGATTTACTAACAGTTGTCTATGCAAGATGCTCTGGATTCGTAGGCCAAATATCATCAGGAGTAACTTACTAGGGGACAGAACAAATCAGCTTCTGGCTGGGGGGGGTTAGAAAAAACCGATGGAGGTGGATAGGGCACACATCGAGGAAAGCACCCAATTGCGTTACAAGCATGCCCTCACTTGGAACCCTCAATGCCAAAGGAAAGGAGAAAGACCAAGGAACACAATACGTCGAGAATTAAAGGAAGACTCTGAGAGAATGGATAGCTTTTAGGAACAGCTGGAATGGAAAGCCGAGGACAGAGTTAGTTGGAGATCGCTGCCCGTCAACCTATGTTCCACGAGGGGGAACAGGTAATATTTACCTACAGATACATCACATTTCATCAAGAATGCACAGATCAAACATGAGCATACTAAAAAATTGTACAGAAAAAAAGTAGTAACAACTGACATGTTGTATGATGTCGAACTCAATAAATCATGTAGAAATTAGTAAACTAGGATATACGTAGACTGACAACTGGAAAAAAAATACTTCTTCGCCCTAATCGTTTTTAAAAAGATATCTTAATGACAATTCCTGCTCTACTGAAATCATAAATTAAGTAGTATATGTAACCCAAGTATTAAAAATCGCGAATTCCAAGCTAACAATTTGCAAACAATAAGAAAGACAAAAAAAAACTCACTGAAAAAATTTGCATTAATTCTTCAGCCCTATGCTCTTCAGTTTTATTCAATGCTTTAAAACGAATATCATTAGGAGATTTAGCATCATAAAAGAATGGTGGATTTAAAGTGTCCAAATCATGTGCGCCGATAGCGACTAAAGATCTCTTTCTAAAATCATATTATGAATATTTAAAAGAATTCAAACTGGGAAATGAATCATCATTCAAATCAACATTCAGAGAAAAATAGCATAACTGAAGTGTACAAATGGTTTGAAGAATATGAATGGCCTATCACACAACGGTGAGTTGTGATTATTAGTATTCGGTTACCGATGTCTTCGAAGCATTGCTCGTATATCCTGAGACAGCCGTATAAGCAATGCTGTCGTTAGAAAAAGAGTACTAGGTAAGGATGGCAAATCCATTGATGAAGTACTAAACATTCATCAGTTGAAATGGTTCGGAAATATGTTACGTATGTACAACCACTGACTGACTCGACGAGCAGGTTGGATTTAGGTTAGGTGGTGTTTGGTTCTTTGAACTCAGAGAACCAAACACCACCACAATCACCCACCTGCGCTACAAATGTTCTCCACCATTTCAATTAAGTTAAGGGTGGCCGAACGAAAACATAACATAAATCCATGAAGTCACTGACAAGTGGACTGAATCATGTTGGTACGTATCGAGTACCTGGTTGGGGCCCGCGAGATGATAGTGACCGATGGTTAGAGACCCTGAGTGACATGGCTCAAAATCGAATGCAATGGCGCAGGTGTATCCACTCTTTGTGTTCTCCCAAATTGTAATCTGAAGTTTCACTACTTCACCTATTGATCTGCTACCCTTACGTAGTACTTGATTCCTAAATATGTCATTGCTTAATCAGTCGTCCCAGGATATACGAGCAATGCTTCGAAGACATCTATTACCGAATACTAATAACCTACGAGTATATTCAACTCGTATCGTATCCATATAGTAGAACAGAACAAACTGCTGCGAAGTAGACTTGTCCTTTGGTTAGCAGACGGATATCTCGCCTACGCCATAAATGACGAAGGTTGACAATAGCCAATGGATTATGATTATTCGGGTTTAAACCTTCCTCATTAACTAACTGTCTTGATGAAATTTAGCGTTGATCTAAATACTAGCTGAGTTGATATACAACTAGAATTATTTTCCATAGTACATCTAATGTCTAAACTTATCAGAAGTAACAATTCGATCAATTTCAGTATCTATGAGATACCCATGTATTCATCAAATCTCTCGATCAAACCATTTGTTGCTGGGTGATAAAGTTGTGTTGATGTGGTGAACTTGGGGCAAAGGAGTGCAATCGTGGAATAGAACTCAATTAAGATTGTGAGCTTCTAACAGAAGTGATAGCACTAATGTTATCATCTTGGAAATAAACACAGTCTAGACACACAATAGCTCCAGTTTCTGCAAGAATATTCTACTTCACTGATCTACAAGAATATGCTACATCCTATTTTATATAATGGTCACTAACTGTGGGAAAATGTATAAAGTTTTTCAATGGGTACAGCAGTTTGATGGTAATGTTGGCAAGACATGAAAGATTTACCACGAATAATTTTATCAATACACAATGCATGATACTTATCAAAGGTAACCAACATCGGAACTCCAGTAATTCATCATTTGGATAAACGACGTTTCAGTAAAATGCAAACAACAGATTAACTTCAAGTGGTGAATCTTGAAAATTGTTTGTTACCAGTGTCGTCTTTTTAATATTTAAATGATTTGGTTTTTGCATTCTTACGCAACTATGGGTAGTAGGAATTCATATATGGATATCGCAACCATCAAGGAAATCTATCTTTGGTTTAATAAGTATACCTGACACAGGAATCCGGTTAAATACATCTCAGGCTACTAAAGGGACTCGTACCTCTTATTAAGAATCTGTCGAGTACGCATTTTAATTCATCGACAACTCATGGCAAGTTATTAAACAATTGGAATAACCTCGTTGTACATCTTGCCTTTAAAAGGGGTACATTGTGTGAACCCGAGAACTAAAATACTTACATGAATTTCCTGATGGTTACAAAAAAAGAATGCTAGAATCAAAAGTAAGGTAGTAAACAATCATCGTAATAACTGGTTAGGAAATATAACTTAAAGTAATTACTATGTATTCAGTACTAATTAGTCATCATCTGACTATCGTCCTTCGCATCGAGTCACTAGAAGGAACTCCCTACCTTTAGAAACTGGGAAGAACTTCGTATGGTAACACATTTGAAAACAACAATGCGACTTTTAAAATTCAAAAAAGTGTTTTGAAAACTAACGATCAAAGTTTCACATGAAGCATTACCTGCACAAATTTTGGTGGAGCTTCTCCTGGAGATCAATGAAGCTGTTGAGTCGAGACTCATCCAGTACAATGTTCCTTAATACACCAGCAACGACAAAAGGTCTAACACTTTGCGTCTATTTTCATGAAATCATCCCGTTATCAACTTACCGATGGTAAAACATGCAGCTGGATGGGATTCTGAGGCTTATTAGTGACAAAAACCGGAGGCTTCATTCTGATACACGTAGAATTACTAAAAACTGGCTTACTTAGATTCGAATATCATAAGAGCTCGAGATAAACCCTCAGGACAGAGTAAATCATAACGATTGGCAGGTATTTCGACTTTATAGACTGGTTCAGTACTACATCCTTTAGACTTTTCTTTTCCTTTTTCACGAGTGACTAATTCTTTTTCAGTAGTCTGAAATTAAGTAGATACCAGAATTTCAGCATACAACTTCATCAAGTTCAAGACCATAACTGAAGCATAATTCTTCAAATTCTTCTTGAGCTATCAAATGAAATAGTAAATAATATTTAAACATCTATTACAATATTCCTTTTGAAGTTTCTGGAATAAAGTCGATTGAGAGATAGATACGATCGGCATCGTGAACTCCAATGTGACCTTCACTTAGGTCACGCGGCAGTATTTATACCTACCGCCAATTAGCATTTCGGGCCTCCTGAACCATTTGTCGGTGATAAGTATAAGCCTATCGATTAATCTTTTAGTCTGAAGCAATATGAAGGCCTAACGACTCCTCTTTCTACATGGAATTAGTAATTCCACCGAATTCCAGAATGATATCTATCCCGTTAACATGCAAGAAGATTAACAAACGGGAAGTTTTGGATCTTTTCTCAGCCTACTAATGTACTTTCCAACAATACTTTAGATTTTGCATATTATTGTTAAGTAAGTGACACAGATTTCAAGTTAACGTACCCGTCACAACCTTCTGAGGTGAGTTATTGTTCGGAGTTGTATTTACGATCCAACGTTCAATCATTCTGAGACGTTTTCATGGGAAAATGTGTAGCAGTGAGATCCCTAATTTCCCATATTTCAGCGAATTTGTTCGTTTTTCTATTAGAAACCGGTGAGATCACATATGTATATCTGTAACTGCGTATCTGGTTACGCATTTACTTCCTACCTCTATATAGGCCTAATAACTTACATCATAGCATTTCTTATGTTAATGGTTCTTCTTCCTGTCCTTTGGCTTTGAGGGTTCTCGTGATGCTAATGGGTGGTTTCTGTAATCTGTACCTGATTTACTTCATCGTCCTCTCCTGATTTCCTCCTCCTCTGGAATCTGGTCTGCCCCCCACCAGAGTAGTTTGTTGCTGATGATGTCTGGCAAGTGAATCCTAAGTATTTTGCATAGACAACTGTTACCAAACACTTTTACCCACTGGATGATGGTTTTCGTAGTTCTCCAAGTTTCCGCCTCTTACAGTAGAATTGTCTTGACACTTGTATTGTGACTTTACTGTTCATTGACAGGCAGTTGTTTTGATTTCCAGAAGTTTTTCAGTTGCAGAAATGATGTACTTGCATTGTTAGTCCGTGTATTTACACCTACATCAGATCCACATTTTTACGAATTATGCTGTGCGAAATCTGTAGGTTCCTGTATCTTACAAAGATTCTCAAAGAAGTGTGATTTAATCAGTATACACTGTGTTGTAAACTGTAAAGCTGATTTGAGTCTTTCGTCCAATTCGACTACGCTATGTGGAAGACATTTTCTGGTACTTAGGTTAGTGAGATACCGCTTTAGTTTTTACTGCCGCTGAGATATCTTTTCTTTGGTTTTGTTGTAACGGTTGCTTGAATATATTTTCCGGCTAAATCCCATTGCTTAGTATTCTCTGACCACAGTACACTGGACAAGTTCCCAAGAATCAAAACACGGTTGAACAGGAAATGATTATATTCAAAATAGCAAGGTTAAATGGAATAAGAAGCCAAGTTGATAGCGAAGATGAAGGCGAAAATAGATACAACGTTAGTTTATTTATAGCATTTACATGAGAAGCTTCTGGATAAAAATTCACGTTATCGACTGGATTAGACTTAGCCAATCAGCACGCAGCTAACAAACGAGAATTTTCTACCCTGTTCTCCAAGAATCGATCAGGCGCTGATTGGATAGGGTCCAACCGCAACCGAGTGACTGGCTTGTATTTTCGATTAGTCCATCTTCTCGGCAATAAGGGAATGGTGTCACTCTTTGCTTGCACAGAAACTAACTTGTGTGTTCCAGGCGTTTTGATTTCGAAGGTGTCCAGCAGAACGTCAAAGGGTATTTGATACCGAGTCCTGTTGCTGGCTATCGAAATTGCTTTCAGTTGGTTAGCATGACGTGCTCAAACTTCTGAGCCATCTGATACCTCATAAATCACATTCCCTTACTTAGAACTAAAGATTGAAATCCAAGGTTTGTGATCTGTCAGTAGTGTAAACTTACGACCATAGAGCATTTTATGAAATCTTTTGACAGCGAAAATAATTGCTAGAGCTTCTTTCTCAATTTGACTGCAATTTCTCTCGGCTGGGGTGAATGATCTGGCAGCATGGGCAATTGTTTTTTCTGATTTATCCGGAAACACATGAGATATTACTGCTCCAACACTATAACTAGAGGCGTCAGATGCAACAACAATGCAAAGTGTGTCAAAAGAGGCTTCGAGCTGAGCATCGACTTGACTTTATAGAAAGATGCTTGACATTGTGCTGACCGATGCCAAGGTTTACCTTTTGATAGTAATCCATTCAAGGGACCTCTCACTCGATGCATTTCAGGCAGGATTGCTCTGTAATAACTGATTAACCCCAAGAAGGATCTTAATGAAGGGACATCAGTTGGTGAAGGCATCTTCTGAATGGCTTCGATGTTGGCTGGGTCTGGTCGGCGACCGTTATCATCTAAGAAGAAACCAAGGTATTTGATCAAATGCACGAAGAAGATACACTTTTCTTCACGCAGTTGGAAACCATACTCCAACACTCGGTTAAGGACTTGATGTAGTCGGTCTGACAGTTCACTGTCACTTGAATCCATAACTATGATATCATCTAGATAAGCTGCTGTCCCAGGTATACCTGTTAGCATCGTATCCATTATTTGCTGAAAGATAGCCGGCGCGGTCTCGATGCCAAATGGTAGACGAGTGTATTGAAATATCCCTCGATTGGTGTTAATAGTCAGGAGCTCTCTACTATCTTCATCTACTTATACTTGTAGATAGGCATCGGAGAAGTCTATTTTCGCGAAACATGTTCCACCATTAAGCTTGGCAAACAGATCTTCAGGAACTGGTAACGGATACTGATACACATCCAATGCAGAATTTAAACCGGTTGAGATTTCTGCACAAATGCGTATAGTTCCATTAGCTTTCTTAATCACTACGATCGGTGCGGCCCATGAAGAGTAGTTGACTGGTTGGATTACCCCAGCCTGTTGTAAGCGATTAAGTTCCTGATCGACTAGCTCAAGAGTGGCATATGGTACAGGACGTCCCGGACGAAAAATAGGTTTCGCATCTGATTTCAGTGGTAAGTGAGTGTTACGGGAGAAACGAAGACATGAATTGCGAATAGACTTTGGTACCTAAATTTGGAGTTTGGTTCTGTTGTTAATTTGAGTTCGTGAATTGCAAATAGATCGACATACTGTACTTCAGTAACGGGAGGGAGCAAAACTTGGACGCAACAGTGAGCTTTCATCTGGGTACAGAGGCCAAGGTTATTCTGAAAAACAGAGGCAAACTTTTCGTTTAGTTTTTCATGTAATCTTTCACCTGTATTCTTTGAAAGTAACGGGGTGTTCAATGATGAAAACGATATGTTGCAGACACTGTTAATAGGTTCATCCATTATTCCCAGTTTTTCTAGCATATCTAGACCAAGAAGATCAAGGTTTGGCCGTTCTGTCAGATAGCATATTCCTGTATATTTTGTTCCGTTGAAGGAAAATTCACACTATATCTCACCAACCAGTTTTAACACACCACATGAAGCGCTTTTAGCTGTTTTCTTAGAAGGCTTCATTGGTGGTTTTCCCAGCAAATTATACGTTTCTCTAGACATTAAGGTGATATCTGATGCCGTGTCGATTTGAAAACGAGCTGATGCACCGCTGATCTGGATAGTAACATACTTTCTTCGAACGTCATAGTCTGTTTGAAAAGCAGCTACCAGAGAAAGTGATTTAGACTCGGCTAATTTCACCACATGTCGAGTGCGTTCATGCTTCTTCCTTGGCTGAGACGTACGATTTGGTTGACAATAGCCTTCTTTATGTCCACGTTTGTTGCACATCTGACATATTTGTTTTTAAAATGGACAAAATCGTACGTAATGCCAATCATCACATAACCAACATGCCGTCGTTGGTTTTTTACAAGATGTTTTCGGCTTCTAGACTTTTAACCCAGTAATAGTATTGATACTAATGCTGGTTAAACTAGGATTTACCTGTTCAATCAACATGTTGTCATTTCTGATACTTTGTAGTTGTTTACACTCATCTGTCAACGTTCTGAGTGTGACGTTCGGGTCTCGATCCAGTTGAACAGAAAGTATAGTTCTGATCTCAGCATCTTACGGTGACTGAAGAGCTTTGATGAATATTAAGCATTTAAACTGGTCTTCTGTCAACGAGCGTAACTTGAACCGTTCACATTCTCTATTGACAATGTCTGCAAGGGCTGCATATTCATCATCTTCGTGTTTCACCAGATTTAGACACTGATACCTAATACTAAACAGTGACGATGATTCGCCGAAAATCTCTGACAGCTGAATTACTGTGTCCTTGAAACTGAGCTCTCTAGGTAACTTCGGTAGTATGTGGTCAGCGTAACGTTCATGCTCATTACTTCCCATCTTACGCACCAACAATCGAGTCTTCCATGCATCGTCTTGCTTACTGAATTCAATACTAAATGTGTCTTACCAACGTTTGAACCACGTCAGAAAAGTATTTCCACATTCAGGATTATAGATGAATTCTGGAATGCTGTTTGCCACTGCTTCCCAAGACGTATTTGAAATAGCATGTGGACTCGAACACTGGATGTTGAGCTGTTGAGTTAGAGTCTCCAACAACCTCATTTATTCATCTAATTGTGCTTGCTGTTGTTGTAGTATTCGGTTAAGCTGATCATCTGAAATAGGCATCTTGAATTTTTTTAATTTTTATTCGTCGCCACTGTTGTAACGGCTTGCTTAAATAATTCCCAGCTATGTCCCATTAACAGGTTTCTTGATCAGGTATTCTTATTTGTAATCGATAGCTACTCGTTCTCCGTCGCAATATCGTTCTTGCTCTTGAAGCTAGATCTTACATATATTTACCGTAGACATCCACCTCACTTACTTGTTCTCTTCATTGCAGTCACCTTGTGTCTTGGCTTTTGTTCGGCTAACGTTGATTGCTGCCTTCTCGCTCTTCCTTTTTTGAATCTTATCCAGAGTACCAACAGTGACCGATTCCTCATGATGGTGTTGCTTGTGACTCAAAACCACATGATATCTTAAAGTCTTTTTCCTTGATCGCTTTCCAGTCGTTCTACAATGTAGTTTCCTCTCCACTGAGTAGATCACGAAGGGCTTGAGACCTATTTCTAATGGTTTTCT